TTAACGTTATGCTTAATTTTTAAGAAACTGCCAAACTATTTTACAGAGTGACTGTACCATTATACATTCCTGCTGGGACTGTATGAGAGATCCAAAAAAAGTAGCGATAATACCTATGTATTAGTATCTTGTCATAATCTTAATTTGTGTTTACCTGATGGCTGGTGATGTGAAACATCCTATCGTGTGCTTATTTGACATGTATATATCCCCACTGGTAAAATATCTCTTCATGTGTTTAGCTTATTTTCTAATTGGGATGTTTGTTCCTTTATTGAGTTTTGAGAGTTGTTTATATATTGTAGATATGTATCCTTTGTCAGACCTCTGGTTTGCAAATATTTTCACCCATTGTGTAGTGTTTTTTTTTTCCATCTTCACAAGTATTCTGCAGAGCAAAGTTTTTAATTTTGATGAAATCAAATTCATCCATGTTCTTTAATGATGGGTTGTGTTGTTGATATGTCTAAGAACTCTTCCAAGTCCTACGCCCTTAAGATAATCTCCTGTTCACTTCTAAAGTTTTTATAGATTTATGTTTGGTATTAAAATCTGATCCACTTTGAGTTAATCTTATATAAAATGTAAAGTTTAGGTTGAGGCTCAATTTCTTGCCTATGAATACCCAGTTACTCCGGTGTAATTTGTTGAAAAGTATTTCCTTCCACTGAATTATTTTCACACTTTTGTCAAAAATCAGTTGGGCTTGTGTGGGTGTATTTCTGGATGCTCTATTCTGTTCCTTTCATCTGTGTCTCTATCCTGCCAATACCACCCTGTCTCAACTACTCTATCTATATGTCTTAAAATTGGTTAGTGGTTCCTCTCACTTTCTTTTTTTCAAAACTGCTTTAGCTATTTTAGTTCTTTTCCTTATCCACATAAATCTTGGATTAACCTTGTCTATACTTCTAAAAAAATCTTGTTTAGGATTTTGATAGGAGTATATTGATCTGTAGATCCATTTGGGGAGAATCAACATCTTTACTGAAATGAGTCCTCCAATCTGTGAACACAGTATATCTCTCATCAGCATTTTGTACCTTCAGCATTAAGATGCTTTTACGCATTTGTCAAAAATGGGTTGACCCTACTGGTGTGAATCTATTTCAGTTCTCTGTTCTGTTTTATTCATCGGTGTCTATCCTTTAGTCAGTAACAGACATTCTTGATTACAGTCTTGAAATTGGATAGAACAGTTCCTCTATTCTTGTTTCCAATATTGATTTAGCTATTATTGTACATTTGCCTTTCTATATAAATTTTAAACTAATCTTGTCTGCATCTACAAATAAAATGTTGCCAGCATATTAGGAATTGTGTTAAACCCACAGCTCACATTAAAGAGAATTGACATCTTTATTACACTGATTATCCCTGTCCGTGAACACTTTATGTCTCTCCATTTATCTAGATCTTCTTTGATTTCTCTCCTTAGAGTTTTGTAGTTTTCAGCGTATAAGTCCAATACACGTTTTGTTTGGTTTACACCTAAGTACTTTGGTTTGTTTAGAGCCAATTTCCAAATAGTTAGGGTGCTATTGAAATTATTTCATATTGGGTAAGTTATAGTAGGTTGCACTCTTTGAGGAGTTTGTTTCACTTACATCATTAAATTTCTCTGACTAGTGTTAGTATTCCTCTGTTACCTTTTAGATGTCCATGTGGTCTGTAGTGATACTCCCTTTTTCATTCTTTATGTTTGCTAAATTATATCTTCTCCTTTGTCATCTTCAGTCTTGGTGAAAGTTTGTTAATTTTATTGGCCTTTTCAAATAACCAGCTTTTTCTTTCAATGACTTTTCAGTTTTCAATTCCATTGGTCTCTGCCCTTATATTTATTATTTTCTGCCTCTTATGAGGTTGAAATTGAAGTCTGTGTTCCTTACTCTGCCTCCCTTGACATCTGGAAGAGGAGGGCCTCCTCCTTACCAGTAGATGATATGGAAGTCTCTTGGTACTTCTTGATACCTCCCTGGTTGATAGGATGTCTATTAACTGCTGCTCATGTGTTCTTTATTGACACATCTAAGGAGTGGGGACAGAGGGACAGGAGGTTACTGGTAGGCAGTGGTAAAAGTTCTGAATGTCCAATAGGCTTTTTCTTTTTTTCTTTTCTTTTTATTTTTTTTTTTAACATTTATTTATTATTGAGAGAGAGAGAGACACAGAGCGTGAGCAAGGGAGGGGCAGAGAGAAGGGGAGACAACAGAATCTGAAATAGGCTCCAGGCTCTGAGCCGTCAGCACAGAGCCCGATGCAGGGCTCGAACTCACAAACTGTGAGATCATGACCTGAGCCGAAGTTGGTCGCCCAACCAACTGAGCCCCCCAGGCGCCCCCCAATAGGCCTTTTCTAACTCCATCCCAGCGTAGAGATAGAGGAGTACCTCATTATTTCCTGGAAGTGTAAAATCAGGCTCTTCATGTGGTCTCCACTGACACTGCAGGATGAAAGCTCCATTAGCGCCCAGTAAGGATGAAAGCCCCGGGTCCCCACCAGGCTTCTCTGACACACACAGCAGTGCGTAGTGGGGGTACTTGATTTCTGCTAGTGGAAGTCTAGGCTTCCCACTGGGCCTGCGCTGGTGGGAAAGGGAGCACAGTTTTATCTGTGGTGTTTGGCTGGAGTAGAGCAGTTATTGTCTAAAAGTTTTGTCTTGGTAGGCTCCCCCTTTCCTGGACCGTCCTTCCACAGAAGGTTTCTGTGGGATAGTTTTTTTTGTTTACACCTGTTGATGTTCCTAGGATGGTGACTTCATGAACATCCACTTTGGAATACATGGGGCTAAAAGAAAATCCAGTGAACTTACCACTGTCGTTCCTTGGGTTCTGAGATCTGTAGCTAGTCTGCCGCCTTCTCTCTACCTTTCAGTGTTCTTACGATTGTTTCATATAGAAGGCCTAGAGTTTTTAGCTGTACTTATCTGGAGGAATAAGGAAAAATATGCTTATTCAATCTTTCTCTTTTTAGAAATGCATTGTCACCTAATTTGTGGATTTTTATTATTCTTTGTCAGCACGTGTTGGGTGTATCTTTAGACTAGCGGTAGTTCTTGAGTGAAATTGAATTCATTAATATTTCCCTTAATCTCTTGCTTTTTGTTTCTTGATTGAGAATTTTATTCCTGCTCTAAGGTTACAGAGATGTTTTCTTACATTTCCTTGCGAAAGTTTTAAAGTTCTTAATCTTTTAAAAGAATTATTGTTTTTAACTGAGTAGTGATCTAATTCATCCCCCTCCCATGTTAGAGAACTATAGCACCATGAAAAGTTCATCTCTTTTCCCATTGATTTCTAGTGCCACATCTGTCATGTATAAAATGTACTTATATGTGAGCCTTTTATGTGTATTCTTTTCCATTTTTTTATCCTTACATAAATTTCACACCATTTTATTTACTATAGCTTTAGAGTAAGTCTTGTTATTTGGTAGACAATGTCTCCCAGCTTATCAAAATTCTATTGAAATTCCTATTGGGATTATTAAAACTGCATTGAATGTATAGATGTTTGGAGAGAATTGGTATCTTTACCATCACGAACATGATTTTTCTTAGATATTTTTAAAGGTTTCTAAATTTAGCTTACCATTTTTCTCCACAATGACCTTATATATTTAAAACAATTATTTCTGAGTAGTTAGTATATTTTTGTTGCTATTGTAAAGTAAAATAGGTTCTTTTTAATTAAAAAAATAGTGCTTGTATATACAAATGAAAATGGCCTTTGGGTTGCTTTGTATTCATTCATATGCATTTCATTTTCCAAAAAAATGTACCCGGGAACATTATTGCAGTCTCCTTGGTACAAATTACAGCATCAAATGAATATTAGATTTTTAAAATTTTAGTCAAAAATTTAGATCTTAATCAATTCATAATTTTTTATTGATTTCCCAAGTACTATGGAAGATGATTTCTCTCCTCCCCCAAAAGGAACACTGTTTGCACTTGTTAAAGGAAACTAAATAGCGTTTCTTAATAATTTCCCATGGAGATTTTAAGCAAAACAGGTATCTTTGTGCTCCCCTTTCAGAAATCCTGGTTCAATAGGTCCAGAGAAAATCAGAACTCTGTATTCATTCATTCATTCATTCATTCATTCATTCAGGGAGAGAGAGTGTGAACGAGGGAGGGCAGAGAAAGAATCCCAAGCAGACTCTGTGCTCTCAGCATGAGCCCCACTCGGGGCTCAGTCCCACAAATAGTGAGATCATGACCTCAGCCAAAATCAAGAGTCCGGCACTCAACTGACAGAGCCACTCAGTTTCCCCTGGAACTCTTTTCTTTTAAACATCTCCCCTGTGGTTCTACACATGTGTATTTGAAAACCACTGCTAGGAGAAGTTGCTAAACAATAAAAAGAGCAGCCCATAGGGATGCTTATTCGGGGGGGGGGGGGGCGGGTGGAATCTCATTTAGAATAATGAAGTTTTAGTCATTATTAGGTATATTCCACACCTACTTTATTTATGGTGCACACATGCATACTTATAATTCATATATGTGTATAAACTGAATTGCTTTGTGTTAAGTAGTGACAGGTATGAGTTTGAAGAGAGTGGACATTGTAAAAGAACCCAGTTACAGTTTAAGTGAGATGTGCTCATTTAGTGCTTTGTATTTTTGTATGAAAACTTTAGAATGAGAGCTCATGGATATAGAGAGCAGATTGGTGGTTGCCTGAGATGTAGCGGATCATGGGTGGGTGGAATGAATGAAAGGGGTCAAAAGGTACAAGTTCCCATTTATAAAAGGAATAAGTCATAGGGATGTAATATATAGCATGGTGACTGTAGTTAACAGTACTGTATTGCATATGTGAAAGTAGCTTGGAGAGTGTTTTGAAAATTCTTCTCACAAAAACTTTTGTAACTCTGCATGGTGACAGATGTTAACTGAACTTATCGCGGTGATCATTTTGCATTTAAATACAAACAGTCAAATCATTATGCTGTACAAACCAAAAAAACTTAGAACGCAATTTTGTCTTTCCCAGTTGGAGTCATTCGATGTCCAGTTTGCAGCCAAGAATGTGCAGAGAGACACATCATAGATAATTTTTTTGTGAAGGACACTACTGAGGTTCCCAGCAGTACAGTAGAAAAGTCTAATCAGGTAAGTGTATTAAGCCTTAAAATGTTTTGCCTCCTCTTTTTTTTTTTTTTTTTTTTTTAATGTTTGTTTATTTTTTGAGAGAGAGACAGAATGCAAGTGGTTAGGGGCAGAGAGAGAGGGAGACACAAAATCAAAGCAGGCTCCAGGCTCCAAGCTGTCAGCACAGGGCCCAACGTGGGGCTTGAACGAACGAACTGCGAGATCATGACCTGAGCTGAATTCGGATGCCTAGCTGACTGAGCCACCCAGACGCCCCATATTGCCTTCTCTTAATGAAGCAGCCTAGGTTACTGAAGGATGCTAAAATAAAAGGTGTCTGACCCCCTTTTGACCATTATGTCTATCAAATTATGTAATATTTTAAAAGGAATATAAAGAATAATGAATAATTCATCTTAAGGATTAAAACAGTGCCAATACAGAAGCCTTGCTTGTACCCTCACCTTCCCTTTCCCTTCAGAGGAAACCATTATTCTGTATTTGATAGTATTTCATTTTTTTGTAATTTTACTCTATGTATTTCATTTTTTTTTGCAATTTTACTATATATTGACAGATTTTCTAAATTTTAAGACCCCTTTTTTCATTTTTTTCTGTTTTAATGATGAACTCTATAATGATACATATGAAAAATTGCATGTCTTTGATTAGTATGGTTTCACATTTTAAGAAAATTTCTTAATGGTATTAAGAAAAAAATTTCTTAAAATTTCTGCATGGTATTTCTTTGAAAGCCTCATTTGGTAACATTGTCCGGGTATTGCACTTAGAGGCCCACTGGTGTTTTTCTCTTTTCCCCACTTCCATATACCGCATGTAGAACATTTCTATTGGCCCCTTAGATCTATCTAGATGTCCAGTCCCTGGAAGATGAACTGTAGTGCCTCTCGTGGAGGTGAGCTGGGATTGATTCTGTAGCGTACACTAAGCGTAGTATATTAGTCTACTTTTGAATTAGGATTGATTGATGATTTCTCTAGGCAGTTCTTTTAATTTAGCACACTAGATCTGTGAAGGAATTCAATCTATGAGAAGAAAATGATTATTAATCTAAAATGTAAAAATCTAAAAAGTAATCTTTAAGACACTTTACTAATCACATAGCTAAGTTTCTGTACTTTTCACTTTCAGCTTTTCTTGTTGGTTTCTTGGGGGAACTGTGGGAATTTAGGGCTCATCTTATATACATCTGTTACTAACAAAAATACCCCTTTTGTTTCAAAAGTGTCCACAGTTCAGGGGCACCTGGGTGGCGTCTGACTTCAACTCAGGTCATGATCTCATAGTTCGTGAATTCGAGCCCCACATCGGGCTCTGTGGAGCCTGGAGCCTGCTCCAGATTCTGTGTCTCCCCCTCTCTCTGCCCCTCTCTAGCTCACGCTCAGTCTCTATCTCTCTCAAAAATAAATAAATGTTAAAAAAAAAAAAGTAAAAAATAATAATTATAAAGTATCCACAGTTCATCAAAGGCCAAACCAGGGCTTAATGCAGAGAATAAACTTGCTAATTGTTGTGAAACCGGCTTTAAAGAATAGAAATGTAGTTATATGTGAACTACAGTGTCAAGTACTTAGCTCTTCTGAAAGTTTCCCTGTGAATACTACTGATTTTTTTGTCTTCTAGAGTGTCATGTCACTTTCATATATGATTATATTTATACTACATAAACTTTGTTAGTCATATCACTTGAACTCTAGTAGTACCCGTGCATGCTCAATCCAGAAAATTCAAAAGCAAAGCAGCATAAATAATCAACAGGATGGAATAATGATCTGATATGAATTGACGATGATAAGAGATGAGAACTGAAGGGATTCTAATCTAAAGGACAAATCTAAGAGGCTGCTTTTTTCCTCTGTATATCAATTAGTTTTTAGTAAGTTTATTGACTCTATTTTGGTCACAGAAACATAATAGGAAGAAGTTATAATCAGTTAAACTAGAAATAGAGTCCAAATTGACATCTTCAATGTAGGTAAGTGAGGCTAGGAGAGTGTTAAACCTGGTTCAGGAATAGGGTACTTGTTATGGATATTTTGGGAATGAAGTCTAGAGAGGTATTAATGTGGGATGAATTGGAGGTAGAAAGGCCTAGGCAAAAGGTATTGAGAGCTGAGCTAGCCTAGTGGCAATACTAGAAGGAAGGGGATAAGTTACAGCTCACACAAGGTTTTGATGTACCTGATTGGATGTGGAGGTGAGAGGGACCTCACTGCCAAGATGGTGGTGCTTTTCACAGAGATTAAGAGGTAAGGGAAGTAGATAGAGAATTGGTTTTGAATGTGATTGAGTTTGCCTCTGAGACTAAGGTGATGTCATCTGTGGTCAAACTGGAGCTCTGAGGATAGTTCATAGCTGAACAAAGATAAAGCTTAAAAAATGTTTGTTACAGATAATTTTAGGCATTACCAAGAGAAGGGACTTAAAGTTTCACATAACAAACTCCCATGTACACATACCTAGCTTAGTAGCCATCAACTCTTGTTTTATGTTTATCCTGACACCCTTCCACATACTATATTATGTTGAGGGTAATCTAATCCATAAATCTTTCAGTACTTCTTTGGAAAAATATTTTTTTATAAACCTAACCAGCATATCAATTTCACATGTAAAAAATTTTACAGTTAAACCTTAATATCATCAAACACCCAGTGATATGTGTCTCTAATTCTTATGGTTTCTTTTTTTAAACAGTGGTTTGTTTCTATAAGGATCCATTAAGGCCTACACAGTGCATTTGGTTGATTTGTCTCAAATCTATCTTTTAATTAATCTCAAAATACCCCTTTACTTCACTAGTTTTCTTTTTCCTCCCTTTAAACATATTTGTTAGATAAACTGGGTGTTAGTCCTGTGGAGTTAGCCTTATTCTGCATTTTGCTGACCATCTTCATAAAGTCATTTAACATGCTTCTCTGTTTCCTGTATTTTGTGTATACTGACAGTAAATAGGTAGAAGCTGATTTCATTTCAGGTCCTTTTGGGTTAGGTGGCATAAGAATACTTTCATCCATACGTCTGTGTGTACTTCAATCAGGAGGCATATGAGTTTTATCTGTCTTTTTTCTAATGTCAATGACCATTAATGATCACCACCATGATTTCATATTAAATTAGGGCTTTGAAAAATTGTGACATTCTCATTCTGCCATTCCCCTATATTTCTTATCTGGAAGAGAAACAGAAGCCTTCCTTCATTTATTCTTTGGTTACATACATAGCAAAGGTAGGTTAAGTACTTGGTTCATTTCCTTTAGTTGCTAATTTTTAGAATAGTGACTTAGTTTCTTAGCGTTCTTCAGAGATAACTAATGAGTGGTGTGTTTGTATCTTTATGAACTCATGGATTTTTAATATAAAAGGTGTTGTAGTAGTTAGTTGTTTTTAATTGATGATCAAATTGTGCAATCTTGGCAATAGGAGCCTCACATTGATTCCTGAGTCATTCTGATAGAATCGCAGTAGTCCTTGCTGTCTTCCCTACTTTGTGTTTTGACGAGATTTTGTTAGGATCTTTGGTTTCTTTTAGTCACACATGGTATCTGGAGACCACAGTATGGGTGCTAGGGGTATTCACTTTAAAAAAGAGAAGTGACTACACTTACAGTGTTGAGCACCGAGGGATATATAGAATTATTGAATCCTAAAATTGTACACCTGAAGCTAATATAACTGTGTTAATTATATGTCAGTAAAAAAGAATAAACAAGTCCATCTGGCTTGGTTTTGAATTTAGGCCACATAGTATCTCCTGGGGCACAGTCAAGGATCTTCAAACACATGGAATTTTGGAAAGAACCGTGTTAGAGTTTCTGAAATGTTTATTAAGTGACAGGGAAAAGGATAAACAGAATGCCGAGTGAGTATTAGATGATAGAAAACTGTAAACCTTAGTAAGGAAACTAGCATTTTTAAGAAGGCTGAGATTTTAGAAAAGTCATAGGTGCAAATTTTTTAACAGAAAAGGGAGCCTAGTGGTCAGAATATACCTACCAAATGAACAAATTTCTGGAGCAAAAATGTGAGAAATAACTTCAAGAGTTCAAACAGCAAGTGTCTGTTCTCTACATCAAAAAAAACTAAATCTTCATCCCCTTGATACCCAAACCGGTAGATAATAATATAAAAATTTGGTGTACAGGTATTTGTTCTTTATGATACCAAATGTCCAACTGTGACGTTTTTGTTGCTGTTAGTTTTCTGCAGAGCTGGCTAGTAGCTTGACCTGGTGTCATGCAGAGTATATGAGAAATAAGGGTTGTAGCCTTGCCTTCTGGGCTGTCCCTTAGGATAACCAGAGTCAGGATCATCTCTAGTGCAGCCATTCTTTGAGGTTCTACTTTGACCCTCTTGAGGGTCACAGAAGGCTCCCTGTTTCCCTTCCCTACCCTCACTGCCATGGAAGGGTCATGTGAACAGCACCAAGAAGACTGCTTATTTATCAGGAGAGTCGTGGATCTGCTGAAAATTCACATTCAGCGGAGGGAGTAAGGTCTGTGATTACCAAATATGAATGTATTCCACTGCTAAGCAAACAGCCTGATTTGAGGCTCATGAGAAGTTACTGAGGGAGGACATAACGTCTATCTCTGAGATTCTTGTATCTGGAAGACCTTAAGAAGAGGAGGCATTTCATCTGGCTCAGTAGTGCACTCTCCAAAAATAAAGTGTGCTTCCTTATGAGGTAATGGGTGCCTAGTATTTGAAAATATACAAGGAGCAACTGTCTAGGAAAAAAAAAAGATAAAATAAATGTAAAAGCAAAAAAGTAAAACCTACAAATCTAAATTGGACTTACAGGGGCGCCTGGGTGGCGCAGTCGGTTAAGCGTCCGACTTCAGCCAGGTCACGATCTCGCGGTCCATGAGTTCGAGCCCCGCGTCAGGCTCTGGGCTGATGGCTCGGAGCCTGGAGCCTGTTTCCGATTCTGTGTCTCCCTCTCTCTCTGCCCCTCCCCCGTTCATGCTCTGTCTCTCTCTGTCCCAAAAATAAATAAACGTTGAAAAAAAAAATTTTAATAAATTGGACTTACAAATATCAATATATACTTGTGGTGTATATTGATATTTGTGAGTCCAATTTAGATTTGTAGGTTTTACTTTTTTGATTTTACATTTATCTCATTCATCCAGTATTGGAAATCTTGGTTCTTAATTACAGTGACAAAATCATTTATTTTCTCCAAATATATATATTATACATTATATTATAGGGTATACTGTATCAGTTTTGGTAAAATCAGAAACCATCTTAATCCTGAAAATTAACTAGATATAAACTTGTTTACTGAAAGGTAAATAAATACTTAAAGTATCATAGAGATAGCAACCATAAGGAAGCGGCTGAGGGAAAAAGGAGAAACTAGTCAAAGTTAGAGGAAGGGTCTTGTGGAACGTCAGTTCAGACCTCTGAAGAGGCGATGTTTCAGCCTTGGGATTGCAGACCTCAGAGGAGCAGGCGTCGGCCTACGGTGTCAGTATCTCCAAAGCTGGTTCCTTGAGGACTGGAAAAACTGTAGTCTGGTGCTAAGTGCTGCTGGGGGAGGGAACGGCTGCTGCCAGGGTGAGGCAGTATTGATGGGTCTGATGTTCACGGAGAATGCAAGCAAATAAAAAGACAGCTAAGATGATCAAGTACTTCTTCCTCTGGCACTGCAGTCTCCCTCCAGCACCATCTCTTGTTAGAATCCAATGTGGACCCAGCTCATAAAGCATAAATGCAGTTTGCAGAGTAAGAGTATAGAAGAATAGAGATGGTGCTGAAAGTAGAAATTATAGAGTTGTTTCCGTCAAAATAGAAAGCAAGGAACACAGCAATTACTACATGCATGCACTGGCGATGGTCAATCAAATTGTACTTTTTTTTTAAGTTTTTATTTAAACATGAGTTACCATACAGTGTAATATTTTAAAGTTTACTTGAAATAAATAATTCTTTGTGTGGTTAAACCACCCACTTGATAGTTTAATTTGCTTTTGATTTTTAGGCATTTAATTTTTTTTAACATTTATTTATTTTTGAGAGACAGAGGGAGAGAGAGACAGAGCATGATTGGGGAAGGGGCATAGAGAGAGGGAGACCCAGAATCTGAAGGAGGCTCCACGCTCCAAGCTGTCAGCACAAAGCCTGATGGTGGGGCTCAAACTCATGAACTGCAAGATCATGACCTGAGCCGAAGTTGGACACTCAACCAACTGAGCCACCCAGGTGCCCCAGGCATTTAATGTTTTTAATTTAATTTATGAAATACAGTATATTGAGAGGATTTAGACTCTCACTGTTTAATCTACCCTATAGGTAGCCATTTAATTTCCTTTATTCTTCTGTTTAAAATATTATTTCATATGTAATTTTAAGTAATTTTATGTTTAAAAAATATTAGCAAGTGTCATTTCACCCATCCCCATCTTTCTTAGATAAGCACTAGCATGATTTACTTTTCTACTTTGCTTTTTTATTTTACTTCATATACTGAGATCTCTCATTCTCTCTCTTTTTTTTAACCTTTATTTATTATTGAGAGAGCATGAACATGGGAGGGGCAGAGAGAGAAGGGGAGACACAGAATCTGAAGCAGACTCCAGGCTTTGAGCTATCAGCACAGAGCCCGACGCAGGGCTCGAACCCACGAACTGTGAGATTATGACCTGAGCTGAAGTTGGGCGCTTAACCGACTGAGCCACCCAGGAGCCCCTGTCCTCATTCTTCTTTGTAGCATCGTGTAGCCTAGAGGTTAAATTTTAGGTTATATCTTTAAAGACGTCATAATTGAAGCTAAGGCAGTAAGGATGAGACAATTCCCGATTCTAACAAAAATCTACAGAAGAAGGAGGAAGAGTGGGGGGTTATATCCAGAGGGCATCAGGGAGATAAGAGGATCTGGAGATATCAAGGAATCCAAATGGTTTCTAGGAAGTAGGAGCCAGGGGCTTTAATGATGTTAGAAAGGTTAAAGATAAGAGCTGAAGAAAAGACAGGTTCGATGAATGAAAATGTTATCCACGTATTTGGAATTTAGCTAAGGTAAAGCGCTAACTGAGGCGGAGGGGGGCAGAATTTCTTTTCCCCATCACAGAAGATAACATAAGGACTGCTTCTCTATAACTTTAATAACTGTTCCCAGAGAATAGTGATACCATGTAAAGTTCCACAAGCTGGAAACAAAGAACCTTTCCCTTCTTCACCTCCCGTATCCAGTGCATCTTCTGAACCAGTCAGTTTCACTCCCAATCTCCCTCATTTATTCCCACTTCCACCCACTCTCACCTAAAACATTGAAAAAACCCTCTTACTTGTCTCTGCAGGAAACACTTCCCCCTTTTCTGATCTATTCTCTATATTGCAGTGACAGTGATTTTTAAAATTGCAAATCTGGCCATGTCACTTACTTTAAAGCTTTTAGGAGACTTCATCAGACAAGGACCAAAATTGTCATATGATCCTGCTTGATCTGACCCTGCCTGCCGTGCCCCTCACTTCTTCTCTTGCCAGTCTTTCCCCTTGATCCTACTTTGTGCCAGTTCTCTGAACCTGCTGTGCTCCTTTTGCCTGGAGGCTATTGTACATGCTCTTCTCTCTGCCTAGAAGGCTTTTCATTAATAACTGATGACTCAACTTCCATACCTTAATGTTAATATGATCTCCTTAGAGAAAGCCTTGCCTGGGTAATCTCTCACTTTCTGCAGTACTCCAGCCCCACTAAAATGAGATTGTTTCCCCTATCATAATGCTCTTACAACTTCTCATACTTTATGGCACTTCTCAGTGTGTAATTGTGTATTGGTGTGAGCCTTACAGTAATGTTTGTGTGCTTCACATTTAGTCTTCACCACGACTCAGTAAAATCTGTTATTAACTTCATTTTAGAGAGCATTCTAAGTAACCTGCCCAAGACTACTCAGCTGACAAGTGGGGAACTGGGATATGAACCCACACTCCCATCTAGGACACTCAGGATCATAGGGCAGGAACCATGTTTGCTTTTCCGCATTGTTCTATCCTCAGCACTTAGCACAGTGCCTGGAATATTTGTATATTGAATGAAGGACAGTATTATATATCCATTTCATAAGTTTATAAATTTAAATTTACAAGCACTCTTAAGATAACCGATAGAGACCAAGTATGGTTGGTATATCATTTTTATATGACGAGTTGTTTGACCACCTTTTCATTTTTCTTAAAAATTGATGTGACATGTTTCTCTTATTAGGTGTGTACAAGCTGTGAGGACAATGCAGAAGCTAATGGGTTTTGTGTAGAGTGTGTTGAGTGGCTCTGCAAGACATGCATCAGAGCTCATCAAAGAGTGAAGTTCACAAAAGACCACACTGTGAGACAGAAGGAGGAAGTATCTCCAGGTAATAAATTAGTTCTTTTAACCTCTTTTTCTCTATCCTTCCCACCCTTATCTTCCTTCCTGTACTGACTTTGTTTTCATACACTTGTAATAGACTCCTGTTTTTTTCTTTTTTTTGGTTTAAAAAAAGGAGGTGTATATTGTAATTGAAATTTGGAGACATATATAAATGACAAATATAAACCCTCCTCTTCCTATAAATGGCTTAATTTGGTGCGAATGTACAGCAAATGAAAAAAAAGTTGCTTTTTAAACTTCTCTCATCACTTATTTCTAAGGTGTGACAAGAGGTGGGCTTAACAAAAGTTTTACAACTCTTTTCCCTCTGATATTGTTGTGGTAAACCGGTTTTGTGATATTTGATATGTAGATAACTGAAGAAGTTCTGCTTTTTATGTAATTTATGGCTTCTCAGTTTTTATTGTATCGCTTATAAAGATTACTAATATTTTATTGTACTAAAATATATGTAACTTAAAACTTGCCATTCAAACCACTTTTACAAGTACAATTCAGTCGCATTAATTGCATTTACAGTGTTAGGCAACCATCACCACTGTCTGTTTCCACAGTTTTTTCATCATCCCAGAAAGAAACGGTGCCCAATAAGTAATAATGCTCATTCTCCTCTTTCCTCTGCCCTTGCTAACCCCTAATCTACTATCTGTCTCTACAAATTTGCTTATTTCTGCAAGTAAGATCATACAGTAGTTGTCCTTTGGTGTCTGGCTTATTTCACTTGCCACAGTATTTTCAGGGTTTATCCATGTTGTGGCATTTATCAGAACTTCATTAATTTTTATGGCTCATTAATATATTTTTGTTTAAAAATTAGTTTATTGCTTTTAATTCAAGTCAACCAGTGTTCATATGTCTATTCTATATTCCAGGAATTTTGCTGGGTATTAGAGATGAAAAAGTAAATAAAACAGACACTTTTACCCCCACAAGAGTTACTAGTATGATGAAGACTACGAACAAATTAGCAATCATAGTTTGGTCTCATAAGTTCCACGGGAGCACATCAAAGGAGCATCAGACTCAGATTTGGGGATTTACACTGGAGGCCACATCTGGGGCTTGACAAACGAATAGGAGGAGGAGGGTGGGGAAAACTGAAGTACAGGTGCACATTTACAGAGGAGACAGTTAGATGTACCTGGAAAGTAAGATGCAAGAAGAGGAGGAAGAACGAGATGAAGCTAGGATTCTGGTGACACAGGAAAAGGGAATATGATTTCTGAAGGTACTGATGAGGAAAAGGCAAAAGAGGCCAGGTACAGGTTCAGACACGTTGAACAGATTACTGCTAGACAGACTTCTTTTTCTGTGAATTCAGCCATCTACTGAAAAACAAAGGAGAGGAAATAAGATTTAAAGGTAAGGAATGTGAGGGATATTTGAAAGAACTCTAGTTGGAAGAGAGCTCCAACTTCAGAAACAGAGAATGTTTGGTAGCATTGAGGTTACATTTGATGTATAGGCCTTAAAACTTCCTCCATCAGGCTTCAGCAGTGTGGGGATTGGTATAGATAGAGAAGAATTGAACTTCTCTAGGATTGGGGTTTAGCTGGACAGGTGTTCTGGAAGTTCAGGAGAGGAAGGGGTACAAATAATGGCATTTATTGAAATGAAGGATTTTTTTTTTTTATAACTCTGTAAAGGAGATGAAGTTGATAGTACTGTCAGTTGATAGGATGAAAGAAATCGTTGGGAACTAGAGATCACGGAGGCACAGTGAGAGCGGTTAACTAAAAACCGGAAGGTTAAAAAGTAGACGTTATTAGAGTGGATGTTTGAATCTGTGATTAGAGAAATGAACCAGTTAAGCACAATCCAAAGTTTTGGGTGGGACCATGATGTAAGGAGCTAAAATGGAGTACAGGTGTCTGGAGATAAAAAGTCTGAGAGCCTTGTTTTTATGTGGCAATCTGTGTAAACTTCTAACTCATCCAGAGTGATGGCGACACTGAGGACTAGGAAGATGACTGACTCAGGATCTAAATTCTCCAATAAGTAAAAGAAATCTATAATAGAATGACATGTTCTAATTATCTAAGTCAGAAGCTCTGTACTTACTGTAGACAATATTGTAAAACAAAATACCTGCTAGTGTATGTAGTTATATACAAAGAAAAACAACCATAAGAACACATACTAGGTTATTAATAGTGGTTATTTCTAGAAGTGGGATTATTTCTGAAATGTTTGGATTTTATCCTTAATTATTAGTGAAATAACTGCTTACTGTTGAGTCAATTATTATACTTATTTGTATTCTGATTTGTTTTAAATTTAACATTATACATAAGCATTGCTCAATATTATCCTCACTCTGGATAACTAGTAAGTTACATGGAGGACTACAGTATATAGTGAAAACTTTATGATTATTTCTGTGTTAGTGGGTACCCTCTAAGGACTTTTGCACAAGTGGATAAATAACTTTTTTAATCATGTTCTTTATACATTTTTATTAGATTTTCTGAATTCCATTTAAAACAGTCTTCTGCCATATTGGAGTGGAAAACATCGAGTTGGGTCACACTCACTTATCTGCTTATTTTCTTAAGACTTTTTAATTCCATAAAGCACATTTTAAGCTACATACTTTATTTTTCTCCTGAGTTAGTTTGAAGTTCTGGAATGAAAAGTTTATTTATCTTTTCCTTCTAAAATGCTGAGAATACCTAACATTCTGTGTCTTTTTTCTTGATGTTAATTGAAGTCTAGTTGACACACAACGTCAAGTTAATTTCAGGTGTACAACATCGTGAGTGGACAAGTCTGCACGTTATGCTGTGCTCACCACACTACCATGTGTCCCTGTACCACAAACCTAGTAGTAGTGATGGTGTCAGTGAAACTGCTTATAGCTCTTTTATATTTCAACGGATTGAAATGCAAATGAACAATCTAATAATTATGTAGTATTCACTTATGTTAATTTTCTTCTTTTTGCCTCCTGTTGTTTGTACAGAGGCAGTTGGTGTGACCAGTCAGCGGCCAGTGTTTTGTCCTTTTCATAAGAAGGAGCAGCTGAAGCTTTACTGTGAAACATGTGACAAACTGACATGCCGGGACTGCCAGTTATTAGAACACAAAGAGCATAGGTACTGTCATCTTTAATTATGTGCACACATGTATGGTAAGCTTTATGAGGACTGGAGGGCTGCTGGCACCCCGGCCAGATGGCAGTCGGCAAATGAAGTTTTGTTCGGCCAACAGTATGTTGGCCTGTTCCAGGATTTTTCAACTTGGTCACTACAGATACTTGTGGGGGTCCTGTCTGGTTCATTGTATGGTGTTCAGCGGCATCTTTGACCTGTATTCACTAGGTGCCAATGGCATCCTTCTGGTTGTGAGGACCAGAAATATCTCCAGATGTTGCCAAATGCTCTGCAGAACAAAATTACCCTGAGTTGAGAACCACTGGCTTACACACTATTTAAAACTAAATGGAATTAATTTCCAGTGTTGTAAAATGAGATTTTACATTTAAAAAAAAATCTACGTCTTTGGGTTTTTGAGAGAACAGAACCTGTTATAGCATGGGCCTCGTACACTTTCATGTTAGCATTTGGGTGGAATTCACTTTAGTGTTGTGTAGAATGAGGCACGCCTTTAACAATTCATCATAGTTCCTACTGAAGATTATTTCTAAATCAGATGTCCATAGGCATTTCAGTTAGCAACCACTAATTCATTTAAATAGTAAGATTCTGATTAGTACAAATAAAATTGGTTAAAATGGTCAAGGCTCAAAAACTGGTGGTTACCAGAGGAGAGATGGGGTGGGGTTGAAAAGGTGATAGGGATTAAGGAGAGCACTTATGAGTTTCAAATATTGTGTGTAAGTGTTGAATCCTTAAATTATACACCTGAAACTAATATTATACTGTATTGTTATCTAACTGGAATTTAAATAAAACAAAAAGAAGGAAAAGAAAAGAAAAAAAACTGTCTAGGCTCCCAATAATGGCAGGCTAGACAATTTGGACCAAACCATACCAGGGAGGATAACTAGAAAACCTGGATAAAATACAGAAGTCATTGATAAAAAGTCTTAGTAGTAAAGATTTACTGGACCAGGTTGGAGTGGGGACAGAGAATGCGAGGAGCATTTTTACCCTTCGTGGCATTTTACCAGGAAATCAAGGAGCACTTTTAATAGGCCACAGGGCTGGAAAGACAGCAATTGGAGTTCAGGGGTTACAGGGCTTGAAGGTTTCTCCTTGCCTTAATTTAGAACCCTGAAAGTCTATGCTATCATAGTAAAGATGAACTAGCTAGTAAATAGTTCCTGACTGGGACTGAAGCCTCAGCATCAAATTTTTTCATTACCCAAAGTTGGAATAAATTGAAATCCTATTGCTGGTGCCCCCGGGTGCCTGGTAGATTCAAATGTAAATGCTCCCTGAAGAGAGAAAACATCATCCTATGCCTCAAGTTGATGCAGTAATGAAGTTTGCAAAATGGTCCAACACATAATTAGAAGTAATCACGTATGCTAGGTAATGAGACAATGTGAACAAAACCTACCAGATACAACAAATAAGATAAAAAGACCCTTAAGGCTATATCTTACCATATTGAAGATCAGGGACAAAATGGAAATTTTTAGTAGAGAACTGAAAACTATAAAAAAGAATGAGATGGGAAATCCAGAACTAAAAATTACCATAACTGAAATGAACTCTTAGAGGCTATAACAGATTTGACATAGCAGGAAATGAGAATTGATGAACTAGAAGAAAAGTAAGAAAATACCCAGGATGGAAAGTAGAGAAGAAGTAATACAGGGTGCAACTGGGGTCCCATAAGGAGAGAAGAGAGAGGAATGAGAAGGAAACAACATGTAAGGACAGAATATAATGGTTTGGAATGTGGTAATACTGAAGAAAGATATCTAGCCCATATTTAGGAAGCCCTATAAATGCCCAGGAGGCTAAAAAAAAAAAAAAAGCCAGTATGTTTTTAAGTACAAAAAGAAAATAATTACAGAGCTAAAATTATATAGCCAGTGAACATATTCTTTAAAATGAAGATTAATGAAAGGCATTTCAGACCAAATAAACTGGGATAATATATCCCCAGTAAACCCTCACTAAAGTATACCTTAGGCAAAAGAGAAATGGTAGTCAATGCATGATGGAATGAAAATCATTTAAAATGGTAAGTACGAGTAAATCTAAATAAATATCAATTTATGAAACAATAAAAATGTCTTACTGGTATATGTCATGTGTGTTCTGTATAGTACACAACAGACATGTTAGGGGGATATGGAGTCTGTGTTCTAAGGCTTATGTACAGTTTAGGAAGACGGTAAAAAAATATAAATCAGTATTAGATAACTCCAGATCTGCATTTTGAAATGTCTAGAGTAATCACTAAAAGAATATAGAAGTGTATCTGATTATCAAAGTAACACAGAGGGGAAATGGAATAATTAGTCTAAAGACAGGCCAAAGAAGAAAAACAAAGAACAGAGGGGATTTAATAAGGACTTGGTAAGTGTAAATCTATAAATAGATTTGTAATTATAATAAATGTAAATGGATAAAATGTCCCAAATTAAAAGATTGCAAGCTTAATAAAAAAAAATTGAAAATCTGCTATTTGCTTTTTAGACAAGAAGCAACTAAAGCCTAATTATATAGAAAGAATGATGGGAAAAGATGCATTATACAAACATTAACCAAAGGCATGCTGTTATGTGAAAGTGTATTGTTTGAGATACAGAGGGAAACTTTATAGGATAAAAGGCTCTCTTCATTTAAAAGATGTAACAGTTCTAAATCTATATGCCCATAGCTTTAAAATACATAACAAAAAAATGACAGAACATAGACATATCTAGAGTGGTAAATTTCAACATACTTTTCTCAATAATTGACAAGCAAATTAGAACAGTATATTTTTGTAAGATTCAGATAACCTAAATAGCAAATGACCTTGTGGACATTAAACACTGCACCCAATAATACACATTCTTTATAAACATAAAAAGAAAACATTTAATTGACCGTATGTCAGGGCAATCTTAAATTTCAGAGGGTTAAAACCATATAAAGTTTTTGTGTAAAAACTCAATGCTGTTAATGTAGAAAATGATAGATGATAAAAATCTCCATATATTTGAAAGTGAAGAAATGAAATTCATATGAAAATAAAATGCAGTGGGGCGCCTGGGTGGCGCAGTCGGTTAAGCGTCCGACTTCAACCAGGTCACGATCTCGTGGTCCGTGAGTTCGAGCCCCGCGTCGGGCTCTGGGCTGATGGCTCAGAGCCTGGAGCCTGTTTCTGATTCTGTGTCTCCCTCTCTCTCTGCCCCTCCCCTGTTCATGCTCTGTCTCTCTCTGTCCCAAAAAAATAAATAAACGTTAAAAAAAAAAAAAAAAAGAAAGAAAGAAAATGAAATGCAGTGATGCATGATCCTGTGCTGTATCCTGGACTAGAAGGGGAAAAATTATTTAGAGGACATTATTTTTAACTTATTTTGAGAGAGAAAGAGAGACTGTGAGTAGGGGGAGGGCAGAGAGAGAGGGAGAGAGAATCCCAAGCAGGCTCTGCCAGCACCCAGCTCCATGTGGAGCTCTAGCCCACAAACTGTGAGATCATGACTTGAGCTGATTGTGATACGCTTAACCTACTGAGCCACCAGGCCCCCCTTAGAGGACATTATTGAAACAAATGGCATTATTGGAATATGGTCTGTAGTTTAGATGAGAGTATTATCTTAACGTCCGTTTTCTTTTTTTTTTTTTTTTAATTTTGTTTTTTTTCACTGCCTATTTTTGAGAGACAGCGCAAGCGGGGTGGGACAGAGAGAGAGGGAGACACAGTATTGGAAGCAGGCTCCAGGCTCCGAGCTGTCAGCACAGAACCCGATGCAGAGCTCGAACCCAAAAACGATGAGATCACGACCTGAGTTGAGGTGGGATGCTTAACCCACTGAGCCACCCAGGCACCCCAGTGACAATTTTATATTTAATCATCACACTCTGGTTACATAGCAATATCCTTACTCTTAAATTCATTCTGATTATTAAGGCATTAAAGAGCTATGATGAATTAATACTTGAAAAACTAAGCTGTGTAAAGGTATAGGAGATCTCTGTACCATTGCAGATTTAACTGAAATTATTTCAAAATAAACAGTTTGAACTAAATTTAAATAAAACATCAAAGAAGAAATCCCAATGAATATGGGAAAATATTTTTATCTGAATGATCATGGAAATAATATCCTTGAAATACACTGTTAAGGCCATGATAAGAGGGAAATAGATATCATTAAATGTATATATTAGGTAGATAAAAAAATACACTAAACATCTCAACTTCAGAAAATTAGTAAATTAAGCCTAAACTAAGTGGGGAAAAGGACATGATGAGGATAAGCAGACATTAATGAAGTAAGTAAAGCCAAAAATCAAATCTTTCAAAAGATTAGTAAATTGACAAATTCCTTTAATGAGTGATTTACAGAGCAGGCCCAAAAAACCAATGCCAGGAGTGAAAAGGGGGCATCACAACATTTTCTAAACGCATTCAAAATTATGAGATGATTATCTATCAATGGATTTGGAAATTTTTGCATGAAATAGGATAATTCTTAGAAAATACAGCTTCCCAGGGGCTCTTGGGTGGCTCGGTTAAGCATCCAACTTGATTTCAGCCTCAGTCATGATCTCACAGTTTGTGAGACTGTGCTGGGCCTGCTTGGGATTCTCTGTCTCCCTTTCTGTCTGCCCCTCCCCTGCTCGCTCACTCTATCTCAAAAAATAAATAAAAGAAAAAAAGAAAAGAAAATACAGCTTACCAAAGCTAGCACAAGGTAAGATAGAAAATCAGAATAGCCCTTAGATTTAATCTATATCCATAATTTTTAACTTTCTCACAAGGGAAACTACAGGCCCAGATGACTTCATTGATGAATCAACAAAATAGTGAGATAAAAATAACACCTTTTAAATACACACAATCTCATCCAGAGGACAATAAAAGAATGAATTCTTTCCAACTTGTTTTATGAGGAATAAAAATAGAAAATCACGGACTAGTCTCACCCATGAAATGAATGTGAAAATTCTAAGAAATAGGAAACCAAATCCAGTAGTAATGTGATTTTTGGACAAGATAATTACAACCAAGTTGGCCTTGTTTTAGGTATACAGAGTTCATGTAACATTTGAAAATCAGTTATGTAATTCATATTAAAAGAATAAAGGACAAATTACATAATCATTTCAATAGAGACAGGAGAAACATTCTGTCAAAAATATGCACCTATGATATAAAGACTTCGCAAACTAAGAATAAAAGGAAATTTCCTAAACCCGAGAAAGGTTTTCTGTAAAATGAACCAGAAAACATCATAACAGAATATTGAAAGTTTTAAAATTGAGTTTAGGAACCAGATAACAAACATTTTGACCATTTCATATAACATTACACATTACTAGGGTCTCAAAGACTGCATTCTATACAGAGAAAATCCAACAGAATTAATATTAACTATGTTCCCCTTTTTTTCTAATAATGCTGGCAACACTATAATACTGATTTAAGTACACTTGCACTTTTAAATCACATTATGTAAAATACTGTGTTTTATGCATTTTACGAAAAATTGATAAAACTGCTTGTCTTCTATATTACTGTGCCCCTGGAGCTACTCTTGAGTCATCATACGTACTTTGTCAGAGATTATCATGTTCATTTACAAGTTAAAGTTTTTAAAGTGCTGTTTTATGTTGCTTGAAGCTTTGTTACATGCAAGGCATAGCATCAAGAGTTTTTCCTCATCCCACCATTTTCCCCAAAGGCATGTATTTGTGACCTTTATGACACAACTACCTAATGTTCAAAAGTAATCTTCAAGCGGTGCCTGGTGGCTAAGTCAGTTAACCATCCAACTCTTGATTTTGGCTCAGGTCATGATCTCACAGTTCATGAGATCGAGCCTTGTGTCAGGCTCTGCATTGACAGTATGGAGACTGCTTGGGATCCTTTCTCTTCCTCTCTCTTTCTCTATATGTGTGTGTGTGCACACGTGCGCATGTGCTCTCAAACGTTAAAGAAAAGTGATCATCAAAATATTTACAGCATCAAACTTTAATAATTGGGAAATTACAAAGTAGTAAGGAAATCTACTTAAATATCTGTGGTTACTCTTTGCCAGGTCTGCCAGGTGAGTTCTTTAAGCCTCTTAAACTATGAGTGATAGATATGTATCTTTCCCAAATTTCCAAAATAATTTATAGAGTATCCATGAGTAATATCTGTAAAGATTCCTCCTTTTCTTAGAGACACTTTGGAGAGTGCAGAAAACCTGCCTTCCAGGGATATATTTAGTATTATTTATATCTTTTAAACTCTTTTTATCTTAGTTTTGGGGGGGATGCTTTTCCTCATTTTTGATTTATTAGCATGAAATAATTGGCTTGTTTACTTGTCTTTTCAGATACCAATTTATAGAAGAAGCTTTTCAGAATCAGAAAGTGATCATAGATACACTAATCACAAAACTGATGGAAAAAACAAAATACATAAAATTCACAGGAAATCAGATCCAAAACAGGTAAATTTACATTTGTGGTGTTATGATAAATCATATTTATATAACATATTAAGAATATTCTCTTTTAGAACAGGTATTTTACTTAGCTCATGGTGAAGTAGATCTAAGTAAGCTGTCAGATGCCTCTAATAACATAGTTTGTAAGACTTTTCTAGAAACTTTGGGTTTCTGGAAACTAAACTGGAAAGCATTCTTTTCAGCCATGAAATTTCAAAACTGTTATGGTAATAAATTGCATTGAGTAATGGATCATTTATCTGGCAGGTATTGATAATTTATAATTATCTGATGTTTCAAATTTTAAAGAAATGCCAGGATTTAAAAACAAAATCAACTACTTTTTGCCACTATTATAAAATATTTTAACACTTTATTATACATACATAACTGCTTTTTTAAGCATTGGTCAACTTTGAGATGCCTTCTCTGGGCTGTCACCTTTTAACTACAATAGGGTGGAAGTCTTAGGACACCAGGAGGCAGGGATTGTTAAACGGTTTCACGCACCTTTAATTTCTTATCAGATAACAATACTTGCACGGTTTCTACATATTACCTGTTATGCTTTTTGTTTTCCGAAGGAGGAATCCTCAACTGTCCAAAGTCTCACATCTCACAAGTCAGTGATTAGGGGAGCAAACCACTCACCTCCACATGGAAGAGTGAGTTTGTTTAGCTTACCCCCCTTTTTTCATCCTGTTTGGAACCCGCACTGACATAGTACAACCTTTACAACAGCTATGAAATCCCATTTTCCCTTCTTTTGTTGTTATGCATACAAAAGTAACATATCACTGTCCAAATAAATCAAGAAATCCTTTTTAGAAAGAGCCTGAATAAGAGAGGCCTCACAGGGGATTCATAAGAGAAAGTCTTGTGGTTTATCTTCCTTAAGACCAATCATTATAATGTGTTATTTTTGTCATTAACCTTTTTCAGTAATTACTATGACCATTTTTATTCTTTGTGATAATAACCGTTCTATCGTGTGTCTTTGTTTTTGTTAGTCTTCCTTATCAGCTGTCATTGCATTTTACCTTTCTCTTTTACATAACAACTATATTAACCAAATACTGTTTCATTTACCATATTCTAACCATACTATTTTTGCCAAATAAAGTGGTGGGCTTAAAAGTTTATCTGAGTAGTTGAAAATTTGTAAGGGATATTCACAGAATAATGAAGAGAGATAGTTACAGGTGATTCTACTGTGTAAGTGGCAAATGGTAGCAATTGTAAAGTAACTAATTTTATGTGAAAGCTCCACCCTTGAGGAAATTTAGTCTTTCTTCTTACTCTTTCATTATGTATATGGTATGAGCTATGGGTCAAAGTTCACTTTTTTGTAACCTATGGATGTCCATTTGTTCCAACACCATTTGTTTAAAAGACTAAATTATTGTTATTTAATTGCCTTGGCACCTTTGTAGGGAATCGGTTGACCATGTATGTGTAAGGTTCTTTCTAAACTCTGTATTCTGTTCCATTGTATTTTTCTTTTTTGACAGTACCCCACTTTCTTCATGACTGTAGCTTTTTATAGTTAGTCTTCAAACCAGATAGTGTGAATTCTCCAAATTTGTTCTTTTACCTTTCTGTTAGTGGCTTCCTTATGCTGTTTTTACAACGTCAGACATTATCGCATGAAAGGATTTGGGGTTTTGAATTGTGAGAATTAAAGAATCTTTGGATTAGGTGCTAATTGCTCATATCTGAATAGACTGTCATAAAAGGATTACATTTACAGCACGGACTTACTCTGGTTTTAATTCGTTTTCACTTGTGTGCAGACAATGGCACTGCCTGTCCTTTTTTCATCCTGTTTAACCATCATGAAGATGTGAATTCTAAATTAGTTTTTGTTTTGTTTTGTTTCAGAGGGTTGTTTTCTTCCATATCTATCTGGGTTTCTTGATTTTCATAGCCAATATTGGTGTCAAGTGATTATCTTAAGTTGCAACAGAAAATAAAATCTCTGCCCTATTGGTTTTAAGTCTTGGAGGATAACTATTGGAGAAGCAGACTGGAGAAATCAAACTTCCAATTTCTCTCAAAGTGTTTAGTGGGTGTCCCGTTATTCTCTTCTGCTTTTATAAGATATTCTGGTATGATGCTGTGTATTTCTTATCTGTCTATCTCGATCTCCATGACAATGGCCTTCCCGTCTTCTCTAACGAAGGGAAAAACTGTACATGATAGCTGATGAAACATAAAGTAGTATTGAGCTGCTTATTTGAAGACAGATGTGTTCTTACAGTAGCTCTCTACTGTTGTTCTCTGCTTCTGTGCGGGCATAATGAATACTGCAGCAGTTCAGATCACTAAGAATGACATGCTTACACTTTCCTACTTGGTAGTTAGAGTGGATACAATCGAACATGTTTGGAGTCCTGGTTTTCTTGCTCATAAACCTTTTTTTTGGTCTACCCTTTTAGATCAAGTATTGATTTTCTTGAATGATTTTCATCATGATCTTTCCAAGTCATATTTTCTTAAAATGTGTTCGTTCTCTTACAATTTAATACATTTTGATTTTAAGATTGAATTAAGTGACTGTGTTTTTCAGAAGAATTACATTTCTGCTATGTCATCTTCGAGAAAGTCAATTTACACTGAAGGACCCTTAGAAACAGCTGAGCTTTTAAGAGTTGAAAACATTTTCGCCTAATTTAGACATTAGAAAATCAATTTTAAATATTATAAAACAAATCTTCTGCCTTAGAGTTTAGATTTTTCCCCCTTTCATTTAATTTTCAGGATAATTGAAGTAAATCAAAATCAAAAGCAGGTGGAGCAGGATATTAAAGTTGCTATATTTACATTGATGGTAGAAATAAATAAAAAAGGAAAAGCCCTACTGCATCAGCTTGAGGTAAGTTACTGTTGATGGGACAGTATGTTTGTAGCGATTTAATATAGTAGTTTCTCATGTATTTGTGACTTTGAAATCACAGACTTTTTCATCCATTTATGATTGAATAATATTGCTTCTCCATTCCTAAGTTTTCATTTACCATATTCTACATTGTAGCTGACAGTTTATGGCTTAGTGTTTCCTCGATAGCACAAAGCACAGTGCCTTGCTTGAAGGAGCTCTGTAAATGTTGAAGAGATTAATCATTTTAGATTCATTCAAGTGACAACTTGGGGCCACCAAAGGGGTGCAATCGAGCAAAAAAGATTTAGAAAGATAACTAAGCTATATTTTGTTTTCAAACATAAAGGTTTAACCCTATGAGAAATTAAGTAAAAGGGTATGCCTTCCACTCTCAACATTTTAGTCTTAATCCTCTGTGAAAGCAGTATGTAGGGAAGGATACTCAGGGCACTTAGGATAGTTGTTTCTCACCACGGTGAGAAAAATATTGGGCTCTTTATGAGTTTTTTTATACTCCTGAAGGTCTAGATCCAAAGTCAGTGTTTGCCTCCAAATAATAATAGATTACAACTTCTCCATAGTAACATAATATTAATTGCATGGTATTTTAGTATTCTTTTAATGGTGCAAAAAGAATTCACAGTAAAGAAGCAATTTAGAATGAGAAGAGAATGAAAGAATTCTGATGTTTTAAGGATTTAAAAAAAATAACTCCTAGAATAATTTGGTTTATAACCTCTTTATTTTGTAGTTGACAAAATTGTAAGGTCTTTCTCAGAGAGTCCTGCCCTCCTGGGAAAGCATGGTCATTCCCGTGGCTCATCAGCCATACAGGAAACAAAGACTAAAGACTTGTCTTATTTAATGAAGAAGTATTCTGTCCAGGAGACCTCATTTATAGTATTTTTTCAAGATTCTGTGATTTCTTTTTTTTTTTTTTAATTTTTTAATGTTTGTTTATTTTTGAGAGAAAGAGACAGAGTGTGAGTGAGGGAGGGGCAGAGAGGAGACACAGCCCAGGCTCTGAGCTGTCAGCCTAGAGCCCCTTGCAGGGCTCAAACTCAGGAACCGTGAGATCATGACAGGAGCTGAAGTTGGATGCTCAACTGACTGAACCACCCAGGCACCCCTCTTTTTTTTTTTTTTAATAGAAACAAAGAATTTAAAACATTTTCCAAGCTCTGTTTAAAATCAAGCATCACTTAGATTGGCTTTCTCAGAGATTACTAGTGTGTGCATTGCTGTGGCTCTTTCCAGACTCCGCTGTAAATCAGAATCTCTTGGAGAGTTTTTCAAAAAATGAAGATAAAGTAGTGCCTGGGTGGCTCAGTCAGTTAAGGGTCCAACTCTTGATTTCCACTCAGGTCATGATGTCCCGGTTTGTGAGATCGAGCCCTACATCAGCTCTGTGCTGCACATGGAGTCTGCTTGGGATTCATTCTGTCTTTCTGCCCCTCCCTTGTGTGTGTGCACCCTTCCTCCCTCTCCCCCTCTCTCTCCCCCTCTCCCCCTGCCCACTTCTGTCTCTCTCTCAAAAAACAAAAAACACACACAAAAAGTTTAAGTGTTGTCTACCACATGGTGTGACTGGGCACAAAACTGGTTGCAATCAGGACTAGAATGCCTAAAACGTGAAATCATGTGATTGCACAACATGTGATCTGATAACTTTATTAGATTGGATTTTATTTTTATTGTATTGTATTTGTGGGTATTGAGTTTTAATTTTGGGTATTGAATTTTATTTATGAGTATTGAATTTTATTTGTGAGTGTTGAATTTAATAGGCATTGACTGACTGTATCATAGCCAATCCATGGTTTTTGCCCCTTTTTGAATATTGGAAGATGCATGAACACCGACCTAAATTCCAGAATATGTAAAACTAGACCAAGGGCCTGGTGTGGAGGGTAAAGGGTGCAGAGGCGGTGGTGGCAACAGCAGAAGCTGCGTTGTTTGGGGCACAGTTTTTGTGGCAGTGAGACTGATCCTTTTATACTAAGAGGAAAAACACTAAGAATATTTCTTATGAAAATTCAAGTTTCTATCACTTGGCTTCTCAGAGGTGACAGTTACTCTAATTTGGTAATCTGAAAATGACCATTAAGATATGTTATATGCGGGACTAATTTTGAATTTTCTTCTTTTCAGAGCCTTGCAAAGGACCATCGCATGAAACTTATGCAACAACAACAGGAAGTGGCCGGACTTTCTAAACAATTGGAACATGTCATGCATTTTTCTAAATGGGCAGTTTCCAGTGGCAGCAGCACAGCATTACTTTATAGCAAGCGACTGGTAAGATAACTAAGTATGGCATGGAACATACCATCAAAAAGCAGAGAAATTATGGGAGTCACTGGAATACTTAAAATTCAGAAATGGTCATTAGTCTATTTGTACTTAAGTGCCCTTACCTATTTCTAATTTTAAGTGATCAAAATATTTTGGTTTTAAAAAGTATATTTAACTGCCATGGTTTAGGTGTATTCTAATCCACCACTGTCCTTCCTGTCTGGTTCTTTGCCAGGTTTTCTCTCAGTGGCAATCGAACTTAACACTAACAGTAATGATAATAATAAATATTTCCTGATCACCTGTAGTGTGCCAGGTGCTAATTCTAAGTATTTTCTATGTAATAGTTCACTTAAACTTAGGCATCATTTTTATAAGATAGGTATACCTATCCATCTTTTTTGTATGGATGATGAAGGCACAAAGTTAAGTGACATTTGTAAGGTCACACAGAGGTATCAACCAGAATTCCGTCTTGGACACTGCGCTTAGAAGCTGTGTTCCTCTTGTCGGCAGCACGTTGATAACTCTGGCGGCCATAAATGGTGCTGGATATCTCAACCCCATTTGTTAAAGAAAAGTGGCTGTGTCATGATGAACAATTGTGGTAGTAGTCTAGAAAGAACCTTGCTACTGAAAATACTTCATCACTGCACGCTAGTAATCACCTGAGGATTCTGGATTAATAGTTGTGGAGAAGAGCTAGATTCTGTATTTCTTACAAGCTCCCAGGAGATGCTGGTGCCACTGGTCTGCATTCTTAAAAATTGCTGCCTTACCTTCATTTTATTAAAGATTTCACAATGGGGCGCATGGGTGGCTCAGTAGGTTGAGCGTCTGACTTGGGCTCGGGTCATAATCTCAAGGTTCATGAGTTCAAGCCTTGCATTGGACTTGTTGCCATCAGCACAGAGCCCACTTTGGATCCTCTCTCCCCCTCCCTCTGTCTGTCCTCTGTGCATGCACTCTCTGTTTCTCACTCTCAAAAATAAATAAACATTAAAAAAATGGGGTGCCTGGGTGGTTCAGTCAATTAAGCATCTACAACTTGAGCTCAAGTCGCCATCTCACAGTTTGTGGGTTCAAGGCCCCTGTCAGGCTCTGTGCTGACAGCTCAGAGCCTGGAGCCTGCTTCAGATTGTTTGTCTCCCTCTGTCTCTAACTCTCTCTCCCCCACTCGTACTCTGTCTCTCTCTCTCTCTCTCTCAAAAATAAGAAAAAATAAAACATAAAAAAAATTAAAAAGACATTTAAAAAATATATTCGGGGCACCTGGGTGGCTCAGTCAGTTAAGCGTCCAACTTCAGCTCAAGTCACGATCTCCCGTTTTGGTGAGTTCGAGCCCCATGTGGGGCTTTGTGCCAACAGCTTGGAGCCTAGAGCCTGTCTCTCTGCCCCTCCCCTGCTTGCACTCTATCTCTCACAGGAAATGAATAAACATAAAAAAAAATTGTTTTTTTTTTTAAACAAAAAAGATTACACAGAGAGTTACCCTTTGAAATCAAGTTAGGACTTCCAAATCAGTTTTCTGTTCACCTATTCTGTTTTTAGAATCAGGTAGCAAAATTTTTCTATGACCATTTTGAAATAAGGAAATGTACTTCTGGATAAACTTTTATAAACTAGGTTCAAATATTGAGTTGAAGACTTGTTAAAAAAAATTTAATTTATAACTATTTCTAAAACTATTCCTAATCACGAATTGTATTCAACTCTTGGACTTTTTTTTCTTTCTTAATATTTCAATGATACATTTTTTTCTTGACTTCTTTCTTTTTTTTCTTTCTTTCTTCCAACTGCTTTATTGGTCTTTTGAAAAATAGCTTCTAGATAGTACATATCTTTTCTGTTTTCCTAGATATTTTTCTGAATGTCCAACAGAAAAAGAATAAAAATAGAAAATGAAACAATTCTTTTTTCAATTATGAATTAAAAGTTATGAATATTGAATATTACGGTATTGTGTAAGAAAGCATATTATTCATACAGTCAGATACTTAGTAAATCTCTGTCTAAAAATTTCTCTAATTTTATTTTATGATTTTATTTGCAATTATGATAAAAGAAAACAATAAAAACAGATGGGATTACTTAATCAGCACAATGATCTCGTGACATAGGAGAAAGGAAGAATGTTGTTGACATTATATAGGAGAAAATGGGTACAGCAAATTACAAGGAACCAGTATTATTAGATACCTGATTCTCCAAATCATTTCTTTTCTGATTTTTATTTTTTTTTTTAACGTTTTTATTTATTTTTGGGACAGAGAGAGACAGAGCATGAACGGGGGAGGGGCAGAGAGAGAGGGAGACACAGAATCGGAAACAGGCTCCAGGCTCCGAGCCATCAGCCCAGAGCCTGATGCGGGGCTCGAACTCACGGACCGTGAGATTGTGACCTGGCTGAAGTCGGACACTTAACCGACTGAGCCACCCAGGCGCCCCTCTTTTCTGATTTTTAAAAGTCTGTGGAACCCAAGTGGCCCTTGAGTCGCAAATGTATGTAGCTAATAAAATAATTTGCCTGCAATGCACACTGAGCTGAGGCTTATACTTATTTGTAAACACTTACAAGGATCTCCAACCTCAAAAAATTTGAAAATTACTATATTCTATAACTCCGTTCCTCATAGTTTTTCTGCATGGTACATGTAGCCATGTTTACTCAAGTTATCCTTTAAATGATGGCTTTCATGTGCTTAAAAAAATAGGAAGAAATGCCTTGCAGGCCTGAAATTTCAAGCTTGGCTTGCGATTCTTAGTTCACTTTTTGCTATAGGAACTGTGGTCAAGAAAAGACAAAAATCAATGGAAGAGCAAAATCTTTCCAGAAGTCTAGTGTTAAATATATTTTGAAACAGTTTCACAGTATTTCCTCAGAACTCTTCTGTCAACCTGTTAACACTGAATTTATCCTTTATTATTTAGAAGGAAGGCAAGCAACGTTGACAGAAGAAAGGCCAGGAGAGTAAAACACTATCATTCTTTTTACTCTCCATAAATATTTCTATAATACTAGCAATTAGGAAACTATTAAGTTATAAGTAGTAAAAAGGAATTCTTTTCTCCTTTTTTCCCTTCTCCCATCTAATTAATCTTCAGTGACCTTCTTTGTGTATTCCTGAATGCCTCATTGCCATCTCCTTATTTCTAATCTTTGGTGCTCACAGGATATGATTCTTTCTTGCCTGAGTACTAGTACCCTTTCCTGCCTCTTCTTGCTCCTGAATAATGTCCATCTTTTTAAAGACCACCTGCTTCAGATTAGATGGGTCTTCCTTTCCACTTGTCAGCCTTTCATGACCAAGACTGGATTGGGTTTCTCTTTCTTGTGTTTACACACCCTTTGTGCATATGTCCATCATACTATTACTGATTTTTATCTGCTATTATATTTGCATATGTTTCTATGAATCTCATTACTCTACACTTCTTAAAGTAGGAATTTTGTGTTACTCAGTGCTTGATGCATAGGAATTCAACGAAAGATTGATGGTAAAAAAAATCAGGTACAAGATAATGTCTTCTTTCAGAAGCTCTAAGTATAGACAAAACCGCCTGTTCATTTTTATAGGATTGGAAAATCAAACACTAAATTTCTTCTTTAAGTTTATTTTAACTTCATTAGAAAGGAGACAGTAAATAGTATTGCTATCTTGAAAGCTGTTTTGATACCTTTTATATTTTTTTTAAATTTTTTTTCAACGTTTATTTATTTTTGGGACAGAGAGAGACAGAGCATGAACGGGGGAGGGGCAGAGAGAGAGTGGGAGACACAGAATCGGAAACAGGCTCCAGGCTCTGAGCCATCAGCCCAGAGCCTGACGCGGGGCTCGAACTCACGGACTGCGAGATCGTGACCTGGCTGAAGTCGGAGGCTCAACCGACTGCGCCACCCAGGCGCCCCGATACCTTTCATATTTAAAAAAAAGTTTTGTCTGTTGCTTTTTGAACAGTAGCTAAGGTTTCAGTGTAAAACCTGAGTTCATTTAAGTTCAAATACATCTGGAGAGATTAACAAGTGTGTATATTTAATGAACCATTACCCTCTATACCAGTCATGCCTTATCACTTCTCAGAAATAACTAAAACGTGCGTCAGGAGTTTTGACAAGGTTTACATTTTAGATGGGTAATAAAATAATTTGACAGTAAAAGAGCTCTTATATTTACATTGAATGACAGTAAAATACATCAGGAAAAAATGTTACTTAAGGAACAGAGTTTGGCCAAGTTTGATACTACTTTTAGACCTTGGTACAAATTAATAGTAAATAGATACTAGCTATCTGAGTTGTAAATAAATTGCATCTTCCGGCTTCTCATCTACAGCATAGTATCTCAAGGGGAGAAAAAAGTATATCCAAGTATTGACCTCACAGTTCCCTTTTATTAGAGCTGATTTTCTTTTAAGAAAGTGTTCGCATTTCTGATTTAACCATTTTGTCTAAATGATAAAGAAAATTTTATGTCACAGTGTAAATCAATAAACGTAGAAAGGATAGTACATTTGGTCATTGTCGTAGTGGTCATTAAGAAGGAGTCATCAGTGTATGCTAATCTGCTGGGTAGAGAATCGATAGAACAGGATTTCAGTGTAATGCTACAATACCTCTTTGCAAAATACTAGGCATTTACAAATGGGGAAATCGAGTGAATTCAAGGTGGGGAACCTGGGGAGCAAAATTGTCAGGCGACGAAGATTCGTATCAGCACTTGTGGTGGGACAGGCTGCCATCCTGAGCTTCCTGATCTCATGTGCTAAGAAGTGCACATTATATTATCATTAGTGTGGGATTCCTGACAAGGATGCTTTTACCAAGTCTGATCAAGAGGAACTGCACTCAGACCCAGGTTGAAGGCCCTCTTCTAGAATATAAGTTCTTGAACTCTTTAAAGCCATCAAGGACATAAATGACAGGGAAAGCCTAAGGAACTGAAGGGACATGGCATCCAAATGCAACCTGTATTCCTTAACAGTATCCTAGCAAGCGACACTGTGGGCAGAGTTGGCATTTGAATGAGGTCTTTGGATTGGATGGCAGTGTTGTCAGACTTGGTTTCGGAATTTGGAATTTGCTCTTTATGCTAGACGATCTTTGTTTTAAGGTGCACTCGCCAGAGTGTTTAGGGTAGACAGAACCTCATGTCTGCAACTTGCTGTCAAAAGGTTCAGAAAAAGACTAGTAGCAATAGTGTATGTGCAAAAGCAGTTGGGGAGGCACTGGAAGAAGTGTGTTAATACAGCAGCCGTTGGGAAATCTGGGTGAAGGGTTTTTTTCACTTTTCTACAATTTAAAAATTATTTCAAAATGAACAAATTTTTGGAAATGATAAAACAGGAGTATATTTACAAAGGAAAGTTCTTGGAATGATTGTTTTGGTCGGCTTTGTAGGAACATCTTTTACGGTGAGAACTGTTAGAGGACACAAAAAATTAAGACAGAAAAACGTAGGGAGAAGAGCATTGTGTTGAGTGCTGTTAGCTACACACTGTGCCATGTATTCTACTTAGTCCCAAAATAGTTCGATGGTTTTTTACTCACAATTTATTAAAGCTATTGAAAATAATTTAGCAACTAAAGCAAATTATGTATTCAACAATTATTTACTGAATACCTGCTATATTTATCAGGCAGCATTCTAAGCACTGGGAGAACAGAGAACAAAATAAAATCTTTGCCCTTTAAGAGTCAGATTTAGGGGCGCCTGGGTGGCGAAGTCGGTTAAGCGTCCAACTTCAGCCAGGTCACGATCTCGCGGTCCGTGAGTTCGAGCCCCGCGTCGGGCTCTGGGCTGATGGCTCAGAGCCTGGAGCCCGCTTCGGATTCTGTGTCTCCTTCTCTCTTTGCCCCTCCCCCGTTCATGCTCTGTCTTTCTCTGTCCCAAAAATAAATAAACGTTGAAAAAAAAAAAAAGAGTCACATTTAGTGAAGAGAGACAGTACCAAAATAAGTAAAATATAGAACTATTACCTGGTATATATTAAGTGCTCTAGAGAAAATTAAGAAAGGGAGTCTGGGAACACTGGAGTGCAGGTGGTAGTTTAAGATAAGTTGGTCTATCTAAATTTTTTTTTTCAAAGTTTATTTATTTTTGGGACAGAGAGAGACAGAGCATGAACGGGGGAGGGGCAGAGAGAGAGGGAGACACAATTGGAAACAGGCTCCAGGCTCCGAGCCATCAGCCCAGAGCCTGACGCGGGGCTCGAACTCACGGAGCGCGAGATCGTGACCTGGCTGAAGTCGGACGCTTAACCGACTGCGCTACCTAGGCGCCCCAAGTTGGTCTATCTAAAGAGGGTGATATTTGAGCAAATACTAAAGAAAAGTGAAGAAGTAATTCCTGCAGATATTTGGGGGAAGTCTGTTCTGGCGAAGCAACACAGCAGATACAAAGACGGAGGTGGTGGTTTTTGTGATATGGACATAAAGAGGCATGAGGGGCTGGAACAGAGTGAAGGATCACAAAGTAGTATGAGTAAGGTCGTGCAGTCAGATAGCACAAGCCTTGTAGTTCATTATGAGGACTTTGGTTTTTAATCTCAGATGAGGAACTGCTGGAGAGAGGGACTTGAGAAGGAAGACAATATGATTTATATTTTAACAATCACTGTAGCTATTGAGAACAGACTATAGGTAGTTGAGGGCAAGGGAGATATAAGGGAGACCAGTTAGAGCCTTACTTACTGCAGTAAGGTAACTTTTGCAAAGTGATAGCAGGAGAATTAATAGAGGTGATGGGAGGGGTGCCTGGGTGGCTCAGTCACTTAAGCATCCGACTCTTGATTTCACCTCAGGTCATTATCTCACGGTTCTTGGGTTTGAGCCCCGCATCCGGTTCTGCACTGACAGTGTGGAGTCTGCTTAGGATTCATTCTCTCTCTCTCTCTCTCTCTCTCTCTCTCTCTCTCTGCCTCGCCTCTCCTCTTGTCTCTCCCTCTCAAAATAAATAAACTAAAATAATAATAATAATAATAATAAATAATAGAGTTGATGGGAAAATGGGTAGGGTTATCCATATCTTTTAAGGCTAGAACCAGTAGGATTTTGCTAACAGGTTGAATGTAGGGCATGAGAAAAAGAAAGGAACCAAGGACTAAGCTGTAGGAAAAATAGTGTTGACCGTAATGGGCAAGGCTAAGATTATAGGACAAGTAGACTTGTGTAGAAAGATCACAAATTCCCTTTTAAACAGATTAAATTTGAGGTGCCTATTAGACAACCAGGTGGAGATGTTGAGTAACTAGTTGGAAATGCAAGTTCAAAAGAGAGATCTAGACTTGAGATACAAATTAAGAAGTCATTTAAACTATGAGACCATATGAGATCACTGAAACTGTGGGTAGAGGAGAAATGAGAGCAGTTGAAAGACTGAGCCCTGGGGCTCAGTTGAAAGAACCAACAGTAGAGGCTTCGATGGTGCATTGGAGCCCAAACCTGTTCTCAGTGGCCCCCAAAAGTAGCAGCTGGTAAAATAAAGATAAAACCATGAGGGTATAGTATGCTGAAAGCCAAGTGAAGGAGTGGTTTCAGAAAAGAATGGGAGGAGAGGAACAGGGCACAGTAAAAATAGATGAGTTTTTTAAGAGTTTGCTGTAAAAAGCAGGAAAACGGGGCAGTTGACGGCAAGAGAAAAAGAGCCAAGAGTTTTGTTTTTAGCTGGGAAAAGTTAAAACATTTCTCTGTCGATGGGAGTGATCCAGTAAAAGGGAAGCCTAGGTGATACAGGAGAGGGAAGAAAGTTGCTGAGCAGTGTCTGTGAGTAGGCAAGAAGGGTTGGGTGCTGTTGCACAAGTGGAAGGACTGCTCTAGAAACATTGCAACTGGAGGGAACACTAATACTCACAAGTGGTGGGAATTTGTAGAAGGTCCCTGATTGTTCCTGCTTTCTCAGTAAAATTGGAAGCAAAATCATCAGCTGAGATTGACAATGGGGGAGGAAGGGTGCTAGAGATTTGAGAAGAAAAGTTGAACAGTTACTTAGGAGAGTAGGGAAGTAAAGTACCAAAAGAATGTCACATGCTAGCCAGTCACCCTTAGGGGCATACCGGAAGTAAATTGTCATGTGTTTGAAGTGATCATTCCCTTTATCAGTCCAGCTATATTTAGGCAAAAGCTGGATTTAACCAGGGTTGCTTGTTTTGTTTTGTTTGGTGACCAAGGTTGAGGAGAGAGATGGGAGTATATTTGATGGAGTATGTGAGAAAAACAGGTATTGAGGGTATATGCAAGGAGATGATTATGGTGCTTGACCCTGGGGTTTAAGCTGGGTAAGGATAATGGTAATGTGAGATTGAAGGACATGGAAAAATTATAAGAGCAAAGGCTTATAGGGCCTTTAAGGTTTATAGGATAATGGGTACCTGGGCACCAGAGGAAGTGAGCTAGAAAGAAGGATCAGCTGGTTGGATATTAAAATCATTAAGAATTATGATGAGTGATGTTGGAGATGGTGATAGTGAGCCAGGAGCTAAATTCTTCAAGGGCTGAGAGAGAAGGTCCAAGTGTTCACTGAGGACTACAGGGTGGAAGGAGGTGGGTGGTGTGGTGTAATGACATGAGATTCAAAACATAGGAGCAAGGGGAGCCATCCCACTAGCAGCCTAGATGTGAGCTGTACTTACATCTCCTGAGCACAGATTAATCTGTATTTTCCATAACTCATTAGCCCCTTAATCCAAATCCTGAAACTTTCTTTAAAAGCATAAGTATAATAAAAGAGCAAAATATGTTAAAGTTTATTTTACAGATATTTAGTTGGTGCTTCTCTAAACTTTTATTAATTAAAAAAAAAAACTCACTTTAACGTATCACTTGAAGATACTTTTCAGTTTTGTATTCAACAGTATAGGTAACTAAATTATACTTCAAAACTTAACGTTTTAGAAAGAAAACCATGTTGTGTATCCATATTTTATAGCTTCTATATGATTACCTGTTTTGTATCAGCATACATACCAGAAATGACTTTTTTTGTGTATTCCCTGGGAACTTAATAAATTATTTGCCTGATGAAAGATACTGATGTTTAGTTGTCTCTCCTTTCTCCTAGATTACATACCGGTTACGGCACCTCCTTCGAGCAAGGTGTGATGCTTCCCCAGTGACCAACAATACCATCCAGTTTCACTGTGATCCTAGTTTCTGGGCTCAAAATATTATCAATTTAGGTAGGCCATTATGTCCGTTTCCTCAAAGTGCCATTTGTTTCTGGAGCTCTTAATGATTATGATAATGCTATCAAAGTGTTTTGATTACCTTATTTTAAAGACATGGAATTTTTGCCAGTATTTTTTTAACGTGTGTATCTTGTAACACATGCCTGAGTATAAATACACATATGTAAATAAATGGATAATATGAAACATCCTTAATATTGACTCACAGGATGTCTAGACTTGGGAATTTAGAAGTTCTTTTTTCCATAGAATATTGCTTTTACTGTTAACTATAGATTTATCACAATGGGGTAATAAAACTTCTGACTCATAACTGCCATTGATACAGGATTTTTGTTATGTGGAATGTGTTCTGTTAAGATAGTATTTCTCATATTGGCTTACTTCTTATACCCAGTCATGGAGCACCTAAAGGTTCATTTGCTTGATCTTGCTAAGGAAGACTTCTCATCTTTTATTCCACCTTTTATATAATAACTGTATATTTTTTTACATTGTTTTTTAATGTTTAATTATTTTTGAGAGAGACAGAGACAGAATGCGAGGGGGGAGGGGCAGAGAGAGAGAGGGAGACACAGAAGCCGAAGCAGGCTCCAGGCTCCGAGCTGTCAGCACAGAGCCCGACACGGGGCTCGAACTCATGAGCTGTGAGATCATGACCTGAACCGAAGTCAGTCGCTCAACTCACTGAGCCACCCAGGCACCCTGAAATAACGTATTTTTAAACTTCCTAATTGAAATGTAACATGCACACAGAAAAGTGCCCCAGTTTTTAGTATTAGAGCCCACCAAATTATCACAGAGGGAGACTGTCATTTTGGTAAGATTAGGAACTCAAATAGTAGAAAAAGTCTTCACTTTTTGCTTTTCTTCTTAATTTCTCACATGGAAACTATAGAAACAGAAATTTAAGAATTCCCTGTACATTCTTCATCAGCCTCAGTATATTCCCTTTGATGACAGTTTTTTGGGCTCACAGACTATGTTTCAAAATCATCAAAGATGTTTGGTCTCTCATACCCTCAGCTCGATTCTAGGTAGGAAAGGAAGAAATGGCTGGAGAGAGCCAGTGCTCTCCTAACACATCAAGAAAGGAAGCAATAAGCTTACACAGATCGCATCCATACAAAAGAACAAAAAGGATAGTGATAAGTTAACCCCTGTAGCTCAGTTTTGAAGTGCGTGCAGCAATGTATTTATTGATAGGTAGCAGGCAGCTGGAATCACACACACTCTGACCTGTCTTACTAAAAAGCAGCATCTTAATACAAAGTGTGTTTCTAAGTAACTATCTCTTACCTACCTCACCAAACCACCACAGATTCAGCAATACAGAAGTTATGAATCACAAGTTATATATCTATACAAGTAGTCATGTATAGAAATACATGTAATTACAAGCATATAACTTACAGCATAAACCTCGTGATGTAGACATAAGTAAAATGTGTAACTATATACATAAATGTATATAGCTTTAGGTATGTCTGCATCAGCAAAAACAAAATAAAAACAGCATCTCCTATTTGTGAAATTCCTATAATAAGGTTAAACAATATCCTTTACGGTAAGACTTCTCAGAGCCATCACTTACAGCTGTGTAAATTACCATTTACAATGAGATTTACATTTTAAATATTCTAAGAAGGATTCAAGTTTCCCAGACTTGGTGTTATCCGTGGCTTCTGAGAAATGTCTTCTAGAAGAGTACAGAGGGAAAATATTGATCTATGTCAACATTCAATTAATGTCTCGGTGAGTTTGGGTAATTTACTCAGTCTCTCTGAGCCTTAGATCCCTTATCTATAAAAAGGACTTTAACAAGAATATACATAGATCTACTATCACATTACCTAACATGCAATGAGTATTTAATGAATGATGACCATATTTTTTTAGGATGTTTATGCTTAATAAATCAGAAATTGAGTCTGTTGAAGAAGTCAAGCTTTGCCTTATGCTGTAATCAGACCTACTAGAGGCACCTTTAAATTCTAAAAGTGTACTCTGCCCCTCCCCCGTTCATGCTCTGTCTCTCTCTGTCCAAAAAATAAATAAACGTTGAAAAAAAAAATTTTTTTTTTAAAGTGTAGTTGTGAGCCACAGTATTCTCTGAGAGCTGACGTAGTATGAGCCGTGAAGGTATAAGGAACTTGAGAGATTACAAATTGTTCATTCTAAAGAATCAAATACATTGTGGGATTTTTAGAACCAACGTCAGATTGACTTGTTTCATTTTGATATACAAGAGCAGTTCTCAAAATATTGTATGGGACTTTTCCCAACTACATGTCTATGTGTGGCTGGATTTTCTTCATAAATTTCAACCCAAACAACATATAATGACATTCAATACAGAAACAAATTGGAGAGTTCAGCTCTTAGACCAGACATGTGAAGATTTTAAAAACTTAAAACAATGTAAATCTTCATTAATTTTTGTGAAGTTATTTTTTCATAAAAATGTGTTACTGTGGGCTTGTTATTTTTAAATGAGTTAATAACTAAAAAATGTTTTTAATAGTTTCTAAAATGTGAAAATTTGATAGATAGAACTTACGTAAACAAAAGCTCTTTGTGACCTTTGATTTCTAAGAGTGTAAAGTGTTCCTGAGATGAAAAAGTTTCTTGGCAATTTGAAGTTCAGCAAAAAGAGCCTTATGAAATATGCTATTTCACTTTCGGAAAAACTTTAGAACTTAACTTTTTCTCTTTAATTAGGTTCTTTAGTAATTGAAGATAAAGAGAGCCAGCCACAAATGCCTAAGCAGAATCCTGTCGTGGAACAGAATTCACAGCCACCAGGTGGTTTATCTTCAAACCAGTTATCCAAGTTTCCAACACAGATCAGCCTAGCTCAATTACGACTCCAGCATATGCAGCAACAGGTAATGGCTCAGAGGCAACAGGTGCAACGGAGGCCAGCACCTGTGGGTTTACCAAACCCTAGAATGCAGGGGCCCATCCAGCAACCTTCCATCTCTCATCAGGTAAATTTGGAAGCAGGCCTGTCCTAACTTAGATAATGATAGTACAATTGTATTCAACATCTCTTAAAATAACCAAGACATCTGTCATTTGTGATTTACATATATGAATTGTTAAAAATTTATCACATTAAGTATCCTTGATTTAGCTTCTAGTTTTTAGTCCTTCTCAAAAAGGAATTAATGGTTTATTTAGCTGGTACATCTGTTTTCATCTACTCTTCAAATTATAACAGGATAAATGATTGCATTCCTAAATAACCCATGCCTATGACTGATGAGGAAATTTGTAAATCTGTAACGCATAATTCCTGTATTAGTGCTTCAGAATGACTAATACTTCAGTTTTCTGTTCTTTGTGGGGATGCAGTGTTTTAGAAAAACCACACTGCATCTTAGAAACTAGGGTCAAATAGAAAAGTGGGGTGGAATGGTTCCTTAGAAAACTACCTTTTTCAAACTTTATTTCTGAGCAGATACTCCATGAACCATTCTTATTCTTACTAGATGTGAAGTATTCCATTTACTTTTAAGTCAGTTTTTCAAGATAAGAAGTTTATGCACTCTGTTAAGTAGTTTAACCGTCTTGCTCAAGTTAGATCTGGGCATACGTAATAAGTTTACTAAGGAATATAAGGTCTAATCAAATCATACAAATTGTTATTGACACTTACATTTATTAATATGTACTCTTCCTATTTCTGAGAAGCATTTGAAGTAATGAAACAGTAATGACACAAATGAAGTAGAACATGGTTTAATAAGTATCAAAGTGTGAAGAACTACTTGAGAACAAGACTTAGCTCAGAATTTTTTCTCAACCCAAGAAAATGAGAAACAGGCATAATATCTATATTATTTGGTAAAAAGGAAAAATGCCAGTTAATTAGAGAAAAAACTTTTTACTAGTATTTTACAAGCACTAAGAGGAATATATAATGTGGTTCTTAATGAAAAAGCAATTTTAAATGGCATGATAATTTTTCTGTAGCAATTTTGCAAAACATAGAATTGGTCTTCATAGGGCTCTTATTTCAACCCTGAAGAAAGTTGTAGGCATATGTAGATCGTGATTTTGTTAAATTGCTTCTGTGAAGGCCTGAGTTGATTTATTTGAGGTTTATGGCTTTCTAATAATTTGATTAAGAAGGCTTGTCAAATCCAGGGGTATATTAAAATGCCTAACTTAATATGCCAAATTGATTATTCCTCTAGAACTTTACTTTAACCCACATGTTCACAGAAGTAATTAACAAAGAATTTAAGAAGTCTTTGGTGAGTGCTCCATGAGAAGAGAGTTGTACACTGTAGATACCAAGAGTTTCAACTGGTAGAGTTGGAATTTTAAGAAAACTGAGTAATTTTGTCATTATCTCTGCAGAGCGACATATTGTAGGTAGACTTCAAACAGTACCAAAATATTTCTAAAGATAAATGTGAAGAGAAGAGGGTTGAGCGCTTAGTGCTAAGCATTTGCATGATTAATATTTATCTTAAGTGGGAGATAGAAAAGTGATTTTTATTTAATAGTTTATTAAAGCAAAAAAAAAAAGGATAACTCCATTATTTGTGTTAATTATCTTTTCACTTAGAAGTGAGGAACTGAGCAGTTAGTAGATACTGTGTGACTTGGTCACTCATTATTTAAGCAGCGACAAAACAGAAGTGATCTCTGAGACTTTATTTAGCCTACGTATCTCAAATTTGCATTTGATCTTATTTTTCCTCTCTAGGATTTACTGCTGTATAATCTATATAATGCACAATCTCCATTATGTGACCTAATTTTCCCACTTAGAAATAAGATAACCTTCATATCTTTTGGTCATTACCTCACACACTGTTGTTTTTCTGTCTTCTCACCCCTCATTTTTATGTGTTCTCTGTCAAATACTCATATATTTTTCAGCCATCAGTTTCTCCTCCTCCATAAGCTTGCCCTGCTCAGCTGTAGACTTTGTTTTCTACCAGTTTATTTACATGTAAAGCGTAGGGAAATGTGTGCCTAAGAGGAGGTGCGTGTGTGCCTCTGGCTTTGTGGACATGTTCAGATCGTACTCTGCATCTGTCTGTAGGACCCAGGTAAATTTGAAGGACTACTTCTAAAAAATTGCTTGCATGAGAGTTCCTTATTTCTTCTTCCTCTGAATATTAACCACATAATCTGTGTGGTTAAAGAGTTGGGTGATACAGACATAGGATACACACTTCTATGACCAAGTGGTACAAACTTGATAGACTGTGTATCTCTGTTTATTTAGCAATATACAGTATATCTTTTTATACTCCAGTGGACAGATCACAGTTTGTTGAGTGTGGTCATGTATGTTATTGAATACATAATTCACAGCAATGGCTCTTACTCCTGAGTCAGATTTATTGCTGTGGAGATGCTCTCATTCATATGTAAACATTCATTTTCCTGAAGAGTCAGAAGGACATCTGCTATCCTTCATGGTTATGCACAGTTGGGAACTACTGACCTAGAATACAGTCAAACCCTATAATAATGAAGGTACTTAGAGTGCAGATGAGGGTAACGAAGATTATACGTTAGTTTGCTAAAGTGCTCAATTATTTCTCTGTTCTGTTTTTCCTTCTGTATCTTTCTTGCAAATTAGGTGATTCCATTTAATTAAAGTACCACTGGCTTTGCTTTTTCTTTTATGGTCAGAACTAGTTCCTAATCTTATTCTTCGAAGTTGCCTTCCCTGTCTAATGCAGTCAACTGTAACTGTTTAGGAGAGGGGGGAAAAACCCCTCACGTCTTATCAAACTGTGAGCTCCTTGATGGTAGGGTCGACATCCATTCCCACACTGACTTCTCACAGGGTACATTACTCTGACATCAAGTGTCATTTCTTGACTGTATCAATATATAAACCTCATTCTTGCTGGGACTGTGAGAGTAGAGCAGCAAAGAGCTTCGAGGATTACCTTTATTCTCCTTAAGGACCATTTTAGGTGCTTTTCCACTTTATAAAAAATTATCTCTTAGATAAATTTAGAAGTTTTGTACTATTTCCACTGTAATCGCCCAACTGTTTTCTGTTTGCGTTTCTCTGATATAAAACCCTTCAAGTCACAAAACTTTAAGAATTAGAAAGAATTGCTATGGCTTCAGGCATATGCTTCTGTACAGTTCTGATATTTTCTCTAATATTTTTCTCTTCTTCACCCACAGAATTTCCCTTGGTGTTGAAACAGTATCTAAATCTGTTTTTCTTGGGTGTGTAATTGCTGGCTACTCTTGAGAGTTACTGAGGGTGAACCCAGTGCCAACTAATTTGTAAGACAGGGGAAAGAGAAGCAGTTTACCCATGCAAGGAGAGTAAATTCAAAAAATGAGAGAGTAAAAGCTGAAAAAGAAGGCAGGGCTACACTTTATAGCTGTCTTCCTTCACAGTTTAGAGCGCCTAAAAATAAGTATTTGCTTCGCAATAAGTTGCCAACCGTAGGATTGGTTCATGATGAAACGAAGACTGGCATATAAGGTTACCTTTTTCTAGAACACAGATCTCAATTTCCAAGGCTAGCATTTATGCACAAAGTAGGCTTGTCTTCCCAGCCCTTGCCCTGTCCTGTAACCAACTAGTGTTGTCCTTGGAGGGTTTCCACTTGAAATCTATTTTCTTTTAGGGAAATTTCATCCTCTCATCTGTACCTTAATCAACCCCCAGCTAAATACCAGAACGCATTTTGGTAATGATGAGGCAAACTAGATTTGGATCAAAGCTCTAGCACCACCTTTCACTAGCCACGTGACTTTTTTCAAGCTACGTAAGCTTTCTAATGTTCAGTGTCCTCATTTTACAAATGACATAATGAAGTAACACACGTAAAATGCTAATCACAATGCATGGCATATGGTTTGACCTCAGATCTAAAACTCACTAATTCCTTTTTTTTTTTTTTTAATGTTTATTTTTGAGAGAGAGAGACAGAGTGTGACCAAGGGAGGGGCAGGGAGACAGAGAGAGAGAGAGAGAGAGAGAGAGAGAGAGACATAGAATCTGAAGCAGGCTCTAGGCTCTGAGCGGTCAGCACAGAGCCCGACGCGGGGCTCGCACCCACGAAACGTGTGATCACGACCTGAGCCAAAGTTGGACCCTTAACTGACTGAGCCACCCAGGTGTCCCAGTTTTCAAATATTAACAGTTTTCACTATTCATGATTTGTCAGTTAAGAGTTTGGAGCTAGAGTGCTTAAGTTCAAGTTCCAGCTTCGTCTTTTACTACCTTTGTTAATCTTGGATAGGTTATTTAAATTCTTGGGGCGCCTGGGTGGCGCAGTTGGTTAAGCGTCTGACTTCAGCCAGGTCACGGTCTCGCAGTCTGTGAGTTCGAGCCCCGCGTCAGGCTCTGGGCTGATGGTTCGGAGCCTGGAGCCTGTTTCCGATTCTGTGTCTCCCTCTCTCTCTGCCCCTCCCCCGTTCATGCTCTGTCTCTGTCCCAAAAATAAATAAAAACGTGGAAAAAAAAATTTTTTTTTAAATAAAAAATAAATTCTCTATAACCTGATTTCCTTTTCTGTAAAATAAAGAGTCCCTACCTCATAAGAGTGTTGTGAAGATTAAATGAGTTCTCTCATAGAAATCTCTGAAAGCAGTGCCTGGCATGTAACAACTGCTCAGTAAATGTTAGCGATTAGTATTTAACCACCATATTATTTTAGGATGTCTGAAGAGGGCAAATCAGGGACTTAGAAGGATACTTAACACAAATTTTCCCTACTTCCTAACATCGCCTACATCCAGTCCTATTATAACCTACTTAAAGTTGGAAACCCCTGTCCCACGGCTCTTTCCTAATGAAACCCCTTTTCACATAGCTTTACACATTCTGGAAGGCTGCCTCCTTCCCCCACATCCTTGTTGTAGTATTCATAAGTTGTTCGTCTGTGACAGAGTTGCTTTCTTTCTTTGAAAGTTACAGACTTCTCTGTAATTTGTCTTTCAGGAGATGACTGTCACTAAAATGGTTTAATTTCTTTTTTCCAGCAACCCCCTCCACGTTTGATAAATTTCCAAAATCACAGCCCCAAACCCAATGGACCAGTTCTTCCTCCACATCCTCAACAGCTGAGATACCCACCGAACCAGAACATGCCGAGGCAAACTATAAAGCCCAACCCACTACAGATGGCTTTTTTGGCTCAACAAGCTATAAAACAGGTATATATATTTACTCTCTTCAGCTTCTTGTTCTGCTTCTCTGCTTTCAGATAATGTTGAATCTATAAATAAAGCAATGGTTATGAAGAGCAAGTTTTTTTGTTTTTAATAAGTGTGAGTTACCAAGTTTATTACAGACATAGAGACAAAGCTAAGAGAATGGGTCCTGATTTATAATTAACAAGAGAAATCCACTTAAGTTGGATTAAAGGCCCAGAATAATCAGTGAGTCATAGGTATGACTTTTGGCAATACTCATAGGTGCAGCTTTTAGCTGAGTTCATTACATTTACTAAGAAGAATTCTAGGGGAGCCTGGGTGGCGCAGTCGGTTAAGCGTCCGACTTCAGCCAGGTCACGATCTCGCGGTCCGTGAGTTCGAGCCCCGCGTCAGGCTCTGGGCTGATGGCTCAGAGCCTGGAGCCTGTTTCAGATTCTGTGTCTCCCTCTCTCTCTGCCCCTCCCCCGTTCATGCTCTGTCTCTCTCTGTCCCAAAAATAAATAAAAACGTTGAAAAAAAATTTTTTTTAAATAAAAAAAAAAAAAAGAAGAATTCTAACAAATACAGGTTATATTCTGCAAAAGAGAAATCTTTAAATTGTTTGAAGGAGACTTAGAAAAAAACTGATAGTTTTAATATGGAGTACCTATACATCTGATGAAATTGAATGTTTTAAGGTTCTATATTAAATCCAATAGGATTTAATATTTATATTCTTAAGGTCTTCAGGTAAAAATATTTTCTAGATAAGACACTATTTTGTTATATTTGTCAAAGTTCTCTGTCTTCAAGCATTTGTGTCAACACTCTTTCCAGCTTAATACTTGTAGGTTGATTTCAGTTTCATATTTTTGCCAAGACGAAAATAAGGAATATGATGTGGTTTCTATAATTCTCTGACATTCATTTAATCAAATGATGTGAAAATTCTATTCAAAAAGTACATGTGTGTTTGTGTGTGGTTATAATTAGTTTAGCTTTGCTTTAATAGCACAGAATTTTCTTAATATTTTAATAAAAACGCTTTTAAATAAGTCATTTCTTTCTCTGCTTCATTGGTAGAGAGAGGTGAAAAGGACTCAAGCTGCATTGTAGCCTTAAGTCCTGTTTACTTTCCTAAGAGTTTTGTGACCTTGTGCAAGTTTAATCTTTTAAATGTCATTTGCCCCAGCTATATATTGAATCCCTTGCAGAGTTGTGCAGAGACTGCTAATGTGTACAAAAGCACCTAGCACACTCTGTGTGCACAAACGTGTACCTTCCCTCTTCCCCAGTTGTTTTTTTTTTTTTTAATTTTTTTTAATGTTTTTTTATTCTTGAAAGAGAGATGGACAGAGAGCAAGGTGGGGAGGGGCAGAGAGAGAGGGAGACACAAAATCTGAAGCAGGCTCCAGATTCTGAGCTGTCAGCACAGACCCTGATGTGGGGCTTGACCCACGAACCATGAGATCATGACCTGAGCCAAAGTCGGACACTTAACTGAGCCACCCAGGCGCCCCGCCCTTCTTCTCCAGTTGTTATGTTTAATGTGTAGATACACACTCTAAGGATGTTTTTAAAATGTTTCCTGGAGAAGAGGTTGGGGAAGATGGCGGCGTAGGAGGACGCTGGGCTCACCGCCTCCGGCTGATCACTTAGATTCCACCTACACCTGCCTAAATAACCCAGAAAACCACCAGAAGACTAGCAGAATGGATTCTCCGGAGTCAAATGCAGACGAGAGGCCCACGGAAGAGAGTAGGAAAGGTGGAGAGGCGGTGTGTGCTACACAGACCAGCGGGAGGGAGCCGGGGTGGAGCGGCAGCCCGCCGGCAAAGCAGAGCCCCCAAGTGTGGCTTGCAAAAGCAGAGGGGCCGGACAGAGTGTGTTCTGACAGCAAGTGGGACTTTACATCTGGAAGGTTATAAGCTACCACTCTGCTCGGAGAACGGGAGGGCTGGAGGACAATGGGAGGGAGAGTTGTTGAGCCCCAGACGACAGACCTCACCTTGGTGGGGAACAAAGGCGCTCGCCAGCGCCATCTCCCTCGCCCATCCCCCAGCCAAAATCCCAAAGGGAACCAGTTCCTGTCAGGGAACTTGCTTGCACTGCGCAAACACCCAAGGCTGTGCTTCTGCGGATCCATCCCTCCAGCAGCGGGTCTGACTCACTCCCGGTGCTGCAGGGCCCTTCCCGAATCGGATCACCAAAGGAAAAGCGAAATGAGCCTGCCCCTCCCACCCCTGTGCACCTTGCCTACCCACCCCCCAGCTGATACGCCAGACCCGCAGCACCACAAGCCTGGCAGTGTGCAAGTAGCCCAGATGGGCCATGCCACCTCACAGTGAATCCTGCCCCTAGGAGAGGGGAAGAGAAGGTATACACCAGTCTGACTGTGGCCCCAGCGGTGTGCTGGGGGCAGACATCAGGTCTGACTGTAGCCCCACTCACCAACGCAAGTTATTCAAGACAGCACAGGGGAAGTGCCCTGCAGTTCCACACCACTCCAGGGACTATCCAAAATGACAAAATGGAAGAATTCCCCTCAAAAGAATCTCCAGGAAATAGCAACAGCTAACGAACTGATCAAAAACGATTTAAACAGTATAACAGAAAGTGAATTTAGAATAATAGTCGTAAAATTAATCGCTGGGCTTGAAAACAGTATAGAGGACAGCAGAGACTCTATTGCTACAGAGATCGAGGGACTAAGGAACAGCCAGGAGGAGCTAAAAATGCTATAAATGAGCTGCAAAATAAAATGGAGATGACCACAGGTTGGATTGAAGAGGCAGAGGAGAGAATAGGTGAACTAGGAGATAAAATTATGGAAAAAGAAGAAGCTGAGAAAAAGATAAAAAAATCCAGGAGTATGAGGGGAAAATTAGAGAACTAAGCGATGCACTAAAGAGAAATAATATATGCATAATTGGTATTCCGGAGGAGGAAGAGAGAGGGAAAGGTGCTGAAGGTGTACTTGAAGAAATAATAGCTGAGAACTTCCCTGATCTGGGGAAGGAAAAAGGCATTGAAATCCAAGAGGCACAGAGAACTCCCTTCAGACGTAACTTGAATCGATCTTCTGCACAACGTATCATAGTGAAACTGGCAAAATACAAGGATAAAGAGAAAATTCTGAAAGCAGCTAGGGATAAACGTGCTCTAACATATAAAGGGAGACCGATAAAACTAGTGACGGATCTCTCTACTGAAACTTGGCAGGCCAGAAAGGAATGGCAGGAAATCTTCAATGTGATGAATAGAAAAAATAGGCAGCCGAGAATCCTTTATCCAGCAAATCTGTCATTTAGAATAGAAGGAGAGATAAAGGTCTTCCCAAACAAAAACTGAAGGAATTCATCACCACTAAACCAGCCCTACAAGAGATCCTAAGGGGGATCCTGTGAGACAAAGTACCAGAGACACCGCTACAAGCATGAAACCTACAGACATGACAATGACTCTAAATCATATCTTTGTATAATAACACTGAACGTAAATGGACTAAATGCGCCAACAAAAAGGTATCAGAATGGATAAAAAAAAAAAAACCAAGACCCATCTATTTGCTGACTACAAGAGACTCATTTAATTTTTTTTTCAACGTTTATTTATTTTTTGGGGGACAGAGAGAGACAGAGCATGAACGGGGGAGGGGCAGAGAGAGAGGGAGTTACACAGAATCGGAAACAGGCTCCAGGCTCTGAGCCATCAGCCCAGAGCCCGACACGGGGCTCAAACTCACGGACCGCGAGATCGTGACCTGGCTGAAGTCGGACGCTTAACCGACTGCGCCACCCAGGTGCCCCAACAAGAGACTCATTTTAGACCTGAGGACACCTTCAGATTGAAAGTGAGGGGATGGAGAACTATTTATCATGCTACTGGAAGTCAAAAGAGAGCTGGAGTAGCCATACTTATATCAGACAAACTAGACTTTAAATTAAAGGCTGTAACAAGAGATGAAGAAGGGCATTATATAATAATTACAGGGTTTATCCATCAGGAAGAGCTAACAATATTAAATGTCTATGCACCGAATATGGAAACCCCCAAATATATAAAACAACTACTCACAAACATAAGCAACCTTGTTGATAAGAATGTGGTAATTGCAGGGGACTTTAATACCCCACTTACAACAATGGATAGATCATCTAGACACACGGTCAATAAAGAAACAAGGGCCCTGAATGATACATTGGATCAGATGGACTTGACAGATATATTTAGAACTCTGCATCCCAGAGCAACAGAATATACTTTCTTCTCGAGTACACATGGAACATTCTCCAAGATAGATCATATACTGGGTCACAAAACAGCCCTTCATAAGTATACAAGAATTGAGATCATACCATGCATACTTTCAGACCACAATGCTCTGAAGCTTGAAATCAACCACAGGAAAAAGTCTGGAAAACCTCCAAAGGCATGGAGGTTAATGAACACCCTACTAAAGAATGAATGGGTCAACCAGGCAATTAGGGAAGAAATTAAAAAATGTATGGAAACAAACGAAAATGAAAATACAACAATCCAAACGCTTTGGGAGGCAGCGAAGGCAGTCCTGAGAGGAAAATACATTGCAATCCAGGCCTATCTCAAGAAACAAGAAAAATCCCAAATACAGAATCTAACAGCACACCTAAAGGAAATAGAAGCAGAACGGCGAAGACAACCTAAATCCAGCAGAAGAAGAGAAATAATAAAGATCAGAGCAGAAATAAACAATATAGAATCTGAAAAAACTGTAGAGCAGATCAATGAAACCAAGAGTTGGTTTTTTGAAAAAATAAACAAAATTGATAAACCCCTAGCCAGGCTTCTCAAAAACAAAAGAGAGATGACCCAAATAGATAAAATCATGAATGAAAATGGAATTACTACAACCAATCCCTCAGAAATACAAGCAATTATCAGGGAATACTATGATAAATTATATGCCAACAAACTGGAAAACTTGGAAGATATGGACAAATTCGTAAACACCCACACACTTCTAAAACTCAATCAGGAGG